CATGTGACCAGCATGACTAAGCCGCTTCTGGCGAACCAGAGCAGCACACGGAAACGCCGTTTACCTTCTCGCCAGAGCAGTACCTATTTAACTACTTGCACTTTGACGTGCTTTCGAACTCCTAGGTTGGCAGGAGCTGGGACCAAGCAACGGGAGCTCACCCTGTCGCGGGGATTCAAACCACCGACCTTCTGATCGGCAAGCGCCACCCGCGTCCCTCTCCCACTAAAATAAATGTATACAATTCTTTAAAAACCTATTGCATGTACATGTATAGAGAAAGAGTCGTTCTACATGGCTGAGATCAGAAAAGAGAAATGAAAGAATGTACAGTGGTACCTCGGGTTAAGAACTTAATTTGTTCTGGAGATCTGTTCTTAATCTGAAACTGTTCTTAACCTGAAGCACCACTTTAGCTAATGGGGCCTTCCACTGCCACTGTGCCACCACCACGCAATTTCTGTTCTCATCATGAAGCAAAATTCTTAACCCGAGGTAATATTTCTGGGTTAGCAGAGTCTGTAACCTGAAGCGTCTGTAACCCGAGGTACCACTGTACTAAGTTTGTATCAGTGGCGTAGCGTGCATTGTCAGCACCTGGGGCAAGGCAAGTAATTTGCGCCCCCTAACCCGTGGATTTTAGCAGGGGGCAGAGAGCTGCGAGTGCGAGCGTGCCCCCCCCAGATGTTGCACCCGGTGTGGCTGGCCCCCCCTGCACCCCCCACGCTACGCCACTGGTACTAGGTAACAAAAGTAAGCATGCAGTAGGATTCAACCTCTTCCTTCTCACTCTCTTCTTGATGAACTGTGCCCAGTATAATGTATTCAGAATGAAAACTGCTTGGAGAAAATGCATTTACTGTAGTTTCCAAAGGAGGAAACAAAGAACAGAGGGGAGAGGGGAGAAATCCACTTACCAGGCATCCTTTAAAGCCAACAGGGTAAGCTGCTAAGTAAATCCAATACTGATGGGAGAGAGAAGGGTTCCCAGCAGGCCTGTCTCACTCAACAAATCACCAGATAAGATTAGCCTCTTTCTTTCCTGCTGATGAGAGCAAGTGAATTAAAATATTCATTCACACATTCCCCAGATTGCATTTGGCCCTAGATTGCTGTGGCCTCACGGACAAATCCAACCTCACTTTGAGAGACAGAAGGAAAGATGTCGTCGGAGGGATAGGGAAAAGAAGGAACTTGATCTTTCCTACTGTTCGGGACCCACCAAACTTTCCTTTGGGTGGTCGATCAAAAAAGGAAACTCAATACAAATCTTTTCAAGGCTGTGCAGAAGCACACGTGAGCACGTCTCCTTCCATTCCCTTTTATCAGCAAAAGGAGGCCCAGTTTCATGTTCCTTCCTTCACATTCCCCAGCAAAATATTGACTCTTTGATATCTGACCGTGCATTTGCAGTTGAGAGGGAGAAAAGCAGAAGGTGACCATTAACAAGGCTAAAACGAAGAATGAGTCTCGCAGCAGCCTAAGAGGCCGGTGGTTTTGGGCGATCGTTTTCTCCGGCAAGCCCCCACTTCTTCCAACAGCACGATGCTAAAGGGACGTTTACTCCAGAGCAAGTCCGTCAAAGTTCAGCGGCATGTAACTCCGCGTGATCAGGGCTGCAACCACAGGGCCCGGTCCTCTGCACGCCTGCTTGCATGCGAGCTCAGGAGGACTTGCTTCTGAGTAGGCGCACACAGGCTAATGCCTCGGCGATCCGCTAGTCCTCAAGGTTGCCCCAAGGCTCGTGGCGCGTTTGCTATAACAGATCAAGGCAATGGGGGTTGGACTGCTTGGCAGGGGGTTGGACTCGATGGCCCTTGTGGTCTATTCCAACTCTATGATTCTATGAATAACAACCCTCACCCATGCGTTGGCAACCACCCTGTGCTGCCCCCACCTCCATCCGCCCACGAGGTGAGGGGCATGGGCGTTGCCAAGGGGGACAGGAGGGGGCAGCTGCCCCCCAATCAATGAAAATACTTAACTAAATGAGGTTCTGCCCCCGCAAAAAAGTCTGCCCCCCTAACATAAATCCTGGCTACGCCCATGGTGAAGGGAAAGGGTGCTATTAGCAGGACATAGTCCAACCTTGGGCCAGTCACTGCCTCTCAGCCGATCGTACCCCGCAGGGTTGTGGTGCAAGACACGTGCGCCATCTAGAGCTTCTTGGAGAAAGGGTATGCAATAGCCCCATGGGAGAAATCTTGGCTCCCCCCCTCCCCTCCCCTCCAGTGCAAGGACAAGGCTGGGCGCCCCTCGGACCTCATTCCCCGCTTACCCTGCCGGCTCCATCCCTGCTACCACTCCATGGTGATGCGCGTCCCCTCCTCTGCAAGCGGCGCTGCCCTCTGCAAGTCCTCCAGGCGCCCTTGGGGGCTTCCGCGGGCAGCTCGGCCGACGCGGCGCTGCTCTCTGCCCAGTCGCCGCCACGGCCAGCCGATGGGGCGAAAGGCAACCTGTGACGCGCCCCCGTCCCAGGCAGCGGGGGCGGGGCCTTGCGCTCATTGGCCGCCGCCGCGGCCCCGCCCCTCCCTCCGCCAAGCCAAGCAGTGCCCGGGCCCCGTCGCGGAGAGGGGCTCGCCAGGCGCGCTGCCGCGGAGCAGGAGCGAAGCGAGCTCTGCTGAAGCATCAAACAGGCTGCGTTGGGGCCGGAGCGGGGGGGGGGATCGATCTTCTCACGTGGAGGCTGGGAGTTGGTAACAGTGGCGTAGGGGGGGGTTGCAGGGGGGGCCGGCCGCACCGGGCGCAACATCTGGGGGTTAGGGGGCGCAAATCCACGGGTTAGGGGGCACAAATCCACGGGTTAGGGGGTGCAAATTACTTGCCTTGCCCCGGGTGCTGACAACCCACGCTACACCACTGGTTGGTAAAAAGATTTATATGCCGCTGAAGAAAAAGCAGTGAGCACAGGGGTGCCAAGTTGAATAAAATAGGGGGATCGCATAATCGATCACAAGACGCGCTGCGCTGCGCACACCCTATTTGAATGGCAGTGCCCATCAACTTGGGCGGGGGGCAGCCCTTCAAATAAATTTATTTTTGTTGAAGGGGCCTCGGCCCCCAGGAGTTGGCTCCTGTGGGTGTGCAGAATCGACACAATACAAAACGACAATCAAAAGATTTTAGAAACAAGTCGACGTCATGAAATTATCCGAATAAGTCAAGATAGGGAGAGTTGGAGAGCCTGGACTCTTTGTTAGTTCGTCTTTTCTCATTCCCACCCTTAGTTAAATCGCTCTCCCTAGTCTTGCCTTCGGCGGGGACGGCCTTGTTCAAAATGACCGTTGTGAGTTGCTAGAGTTGGCACTCTTTAGGGTTCACGTGTTCTGCCTCTTGTGTGCATCAAAGAGAGAGAGACTGCGTAACACTGAGGGGGAAATTACGTGGATGGATGGGGAGGGCAGAGAGAAACTATGTTAGAGTATAAAAATCATAAAATACTTGATAACAACAATATATTGGAGTCAGTGTGGCATGGTAGTTAGCGTGTTGGGCTAACCCTGGAGCACCAGGATTCAAATCTCTGCTCAGCCATGAGTCCCAGAGGGTGACCTTGCGCCTCTCTCAGTCAGTCTGCCTCTTAATCTCACTTACCTCACAGAGATGTGAGGATCAGAGGTATACCTAGGCTCCCTTGCGCCATTGGCAAGGAGTTATATTGGAGCGCATGGATGGATAGTAAATGTCATTATAATAACCCCAAAGGTAGAGAAGAGGGGCTTAACCTTCCTCTCCCTGTCAAAAGCTCTCCTGGCTGCTATTTGCCTTGAGGGGAAAGTGAGGTGGTTGCCTCAGCAATATATTATGGGTGTCATGCAAAGGCGGCAAAATGTTAGTTATTTAATGTAGTGTATGACAGTATTTTTAAGCCACAGATAGGGAGAAATGTGCATGTGTTTTTTCCCTTCTGTCTCAAGTGCCAGACTGGTTGGGCTGCATTGACACAGCAGTTTATTCCATTTCCCCAAAATTGCACATTATATTTTAGCTTTCACATGACATAAAGGCCTTTTCTGGAAATCTAGTGGAATCTTGTGAAAGTTTAGCACTCATCTCCATATTCATTGGCAGTGGTGGTGGGGTGTGGGTGTGTGTTTGATCTGCAAAATGGAGTGAGGGGGAGATGGTTAAATTCCCCTCCCCAGTGAATCTGAATTTAGAATCTCCTTCACCTCAATATGGCTGTCCTTAAGCAAAGGAAAGAATGAGGCTCCACCATGAAGCCTGGGCATATCACACACTGCAGCTCCTGAGTCGTATGCTTCATATAGTAAGGATTTTTGCTATCAGATTTCTCTTACATCTCTGCTTGTTGCCTTCAGGCAATACCTGGCCAGAGTTCTTGTGCTTACTTGAGAAAGGAATGTTAATAACCCACAATATTCAAGTGGTGTGTCTCCATGGGAACTAATTGTTAGAAGATTGCTTCCTGACACTGAGAAAGGGTTGTGGGGCACATATTTCCCCCTCCCAGATAAGAATGATGGAATCTTGGTTTGCGCATGGAAAGAAATAATAGAAAGGGTGGTTGGTTTTGAATCCAGAGAACAACACAAAGGGCACTTCCAGACTGTCACTGTTTGACAATTTCAGGTTTCACAGTTACATTTAAACTCTCATGCAACAAACGTGTGCCCCCGCTGCTCTTAGAAGTGAGCATAACAACATTTAAAGACAATTACTGGTACAATATCTGACAAGGGCAATCTAGTCATTGCAAAATAAATTTATATAGCAAAGGAAGTACTTAAGAACATAGCAATTGAACCTTGGTATGAGAATTGGGGTACTACAACTGCTCACCCTTTTGATGAAATATTGTGGGGTATGAACTTAAGTATCAAAACAAACAGATAAGGACAGGCTTCTAAGGCACACTGCAAACACCTGGCCTCACTTTAGATTAAAGTCAGGGCTGGGCTTGTTTATTCTAAGAATACCGGTACTTTTTTGAAATATGGCTGAAGACCACACACAAAGGATTCCGTCTCAGGCTCTCCTTTTTTTACTTTTAATGTGCAGCATATTAATATATTTAAATACTTATTCCATTGCAATAGTTCTTCATTTGGCACAATTGTTCAAGTGCAGTTTAAGGCAGAAAGGAAAACAACAAGAACATAATCCCCCCATAAATTCTGCAAATAATAGACAACTGATACGCTAACAAAGATGATCATGAGAAATCATTATGTATTAAAAATAGACAGAAAAGTCAGGGGTAGGGGGAAATCCCACCACCACTTTTAAATACAATATCCCTAAGCCAGAAATCCTTGAGCCCAACTAGGAGCCTTGCAGATACCAGTAGAGTTTTTAACACTGCACAATGCACAATTCATTTTTTTTTTATCATACCAGACTGAATCCAGATGGGAATGTGCATTCAGAAACATGTTTATTTGTTCATGTGGATCCACATATCTGATTGAGGGTTATTACTTGCGAGTGAACCCAATGTGTTTCATATCTCACAGATACCAACAGATTGAATTAATGAATTAAAGACTCACTACCCTGTCCAGACAATTGACTAAAATCAGAAACCTCAACAAAGTAACATTAGCAACCAAAATAGATCTAAAAAGCAGATTTCACTAAAAAGCAGAAGAAAATAAAATAGCCTTTGCCAAGTACTTAAGAGCATGCCACCAACAGATAGATCTGGGGAGGTCATTCCATTGCCAGGGCAGCACAACCAAGAAAGCCTCATAGCCAGTTGTTATTCACTGAATATCTGGTGCTGGAAACTCCAAGACCAGGGTCTCTGTTATTGATTCTAATACACAGACAGGTTTGTTGGGCAGAAAGCAGTTTCTCACATACTCTGGATCTGATGCTGCATTTACTGACTAGGACACCTGCTGCTTAATAAAATATTACCAAAATGCTTTAAAAAATGCATTAGGCTCATCCAAATAATGAGCAATGTCTGAACTGAGATAAATCACTTCATATTGCCATTACAAAGATTTATTGATATTCTGATTGTCAGTGGCAAATAAACCTGTGCATTGCTCAAAGCTACCTCCAGGGTAGCGGCCGTGTTCCAATTACTCCCTGAGTAAAACAGAAAATATAGTTGAAAGACTTTTTCCCCCTACGAAGTATGACATTTAGAAACATTTTATGCCATATTAATGAAGAACTCTCATGTAGTTGTGTGCAATTAATTAGTTTCTAGCTTTGAAATACTGGTTAACAGTTTTCACTCAAGGAAACTGCCATATTACTGAAAAGCTCAATGGGAGAATTTATACATAAATGTAACATAGTGTGTGAGAGTTTATAGATGATCTTCTGGAGGTCAGTATTTCTCAGTTGGTTTCTTGATGGTTTAGACAACTGCCCCACCTAAAATGAAAGATGTCATATCAATTTAAAATAGAGGCATGTACTACTTAAAGTGCAGTGCAATGCAAATACACTAACTAGGGGGAAACCCCTGTTGAACACAATGGGACTTGCTTCCAAATAAAGACAAATGCCTAGGATTATGCTGCATTATAATTATAATTTGGCGAAATCCATGCACAGAACAGAGCCTATATGCTCAAAGGAACCATGAGTTTGTGTAACCACTGGTTTATCAAACTTTTACATGGCAATTGTATCTGCTGTGACTGCACTGGTAATTCTTCCAGTAAACCTGTAAAGTGTGCATTCCTAAACACAGGGATATGCAGTGCCTTTTTCCCCCTTAAAAAATGTTTAGGGGTACTCTCATTTTCCTACTCATATTGAAATACTGCCCCTCAATGTGGCCAAACTTAGATTCACAAAATGTTTAGGGGTATGCGTACCACTGCATCCCCCCAGAAAAAAAGCACTGGGGATATGCAATTGTGAGCTTCCAAGTGCATGTCCTTGAACGCTTAAGAACTTTATTTCATGTGTGTTTATGATTCCAGCCTTAATGTAGCTTATAAATCTGGCACGATAGAAGTTGAAATCAGAAAGATTTATTCTAAATGTTAAATAGTATTTCCCAGCTGTAGTATTTCTACTTTTGTAGAAAAGAATGCATTTCCCCCCACTCTCTTGAATCTCTAGTTCTGCTATGGGTAATGGAGGGATTATTCTTCCCACTTCTGTTTGCTTGGAGAGTCAGATATCCCCAGTTATCTGGGAAGAGTCCAGAGTTCAGTGTTAGAGCACACGCCTTGCATACCTAACATTCTGGGTTTAGGAATGTGACTCTCTGACAGTAGAGGTGGGAAATGCCTTAAAAAGAGTTGACAGAGTAAATAGTAAAAGGCTAAACCAGAGGTGGGCAGAAGGAATCTAGCAGTAAATCTCTGGGTGAATTGAAGTAGATTGGCAAGAACAAAGAATCTCTAACTCATCTCTTCAGTTTTGAATTTTCATTGCGAGTGGTTTCATCCATTAGAACCATGATTATTTTTTAGTTCATCATAGCAAATATGTAACTCTTACTACAGTTATTCTTACCTCTCGGTTTAAAACAGTATCTCTTTTTCTTGTAAGCAGTGTAGCCCGCTATTGCCCCACAGGCTAACAGCACAACTGCAATCACAACAGGAGACGAAATCTGAGCTGCCGAACTATCCACTAGAGATAAGGGAAGGAAACACATATTTCTCTTCTGAAATATACGAATATTCTGTTTTACGTATAGAAACTGAACCAGCACACCATGGTAGTTTCACACATCTATATTTTAAAAATTATAACAATCCGTGTCAGGGTGGTCTAGTATTGTTTGTTGACTTTAAGAAAGAGAGATCTGAGTAGAGCTGCTCATAATCACAATAAATGAAGCACTGACTGACTACCAGGCTTTGGGAAGGAGGTGTGAGGATCTGGCAGAGTCTTAGAGCCTTCATACCTCCTTCCCAAACCCAGTATCTGCCAGTGAGGGCCGGGGGGCATCAAATGTTACCAAGGGCTACCAGAAAAGGCCGTGAGGGCCACATGCAGACCTCCCTGAATTAGAAGGGAAAGCAGCTACACAGGCCACCAACTGGAGGATGCTCTTGATCCATGTTGGGGACATAAATGGTTTCATCCACAGATAATGCCTTCACTTGACTGCTGCTTACTGCAAACCACAACTCCAGGGGCAAATAAATGCCTGAGGCTGGGAAAGTGATTTTCAGCAGACGGGGGACGTCCAGCTACTTTTTATTTGAAATGAACATGGCCAGTTTAAGGCTGCTTTTTAAAAGCCCATTTATCGAAAAATGTACTTTGCTCCATAATATACTTCAACATTTGTTTAAAAAACTGTACACTAGCCTTACCAGTGTTGCCACCTTGATTTGAAATGTGATCATTGCCCCCTGAAACGAGAGACAGCAACAAAAACAAAAACATTATTTTGGGGGGAAGAGAAATAGAGAAATGTCAAAACCACAGCAAGCTATTTAGCAAGATTTGGTTAAAAATACTCTGCTACAGTTATGGCATTTATTAGGATGTTAGCTTAACCTTTTGTGCTTTCATTCTGTATCAGCAATAAGAATAAGGATAATACATACTCCTCAGTCAATTGCACCTTTTTGTAAACTCTTTGACAGGACATTAATGTGGACATTAAGATGTTGCTAGGCTCCAACACAGATCAGCCTCAGCCAATAGCTAAGGATGAGTTGAAGTCCAACAATATCTGGAGGACCACAATTTTCCCATCTCTGGTCTATGAATTTCTAAGAGTGCAGCTAAAATAATGCTGATGATATGTTGCTATGATATGTTGAGAGGAGGACTGTGAACCAGTGTGAAGGACCTGAATAACTGTAGGTTACCTGCTGGTCCTGGAGGTGGAGGTCTTCCATCATTGAGATCCAAATCATTAAAATCACCTACAAATAATTAAAATTATGGTATTAGTCTTTTTCTCCAAAGTATCCTTCCCAGCTTTTGCCAGGATGAATGCTAATATTTTGCAAACATCTTTCTTGGCTCAAAGGCAGTAACCAGCCTTCAGCCTATATCAACACCAGGGTTTCCCAAACTTAGGTCTCCAAGTGTTTTGGACTACAACTTCCATCATCCCTAGCTAGCAGGACCAGTGGTCAAGGGTGATGGGAATTGTAGTCCAAAAACAGCTGGAGAAACCCTGATCTAGAGCTAGATATAAGAAATGAACTATCTTTAACCTCAAAGCATCCAGTTGGATTCCGTTCAAAAGCTACAATACCTAACAGTCAGAAAGACAGAAAATTGCTGTTCTAACAACAACAAAAATAGTACAATAATATATTTTCAGAAAGCACATATACTGTAAGATATGTGCTGTTTTTGCAGAATGGCTCTGGGCTTCCCCAACCTGATCTATTCAAGATGTTTTGAACTACAACCCCCATCACGGGGTTACCTCTCCAATAGCCTTAAGAGTTACCTCTCCAATAGCCTTAAGAGTCTCTCAAGACAGATTTCATTATCATCACATCAGTCACTTTGCTCCTAAACTCAGTCCTAATTATCAAAATATATAGGCAACTAATTGGGACGCAGGTGGCGCTGTGGGTTAAACTACAGAGCCTAGGACTTGCCTATCAGAAGGTCAGCAGTTCGAATCCCCACGACGGGGTGAGCTCCCGTGGTTCGGTCCCTGCTCCTGCCAACCTAGCAGTTCGAAAGCACGTCAAAGTGCAAGTAGATAAATAGGTACCACTCCGGCGGGAAGGTAAACGGCATTTCCGTGCGCTGCTTGGTTTGCCAGAAGCGGCTTAGTCATGCTGGCCGCATGACCTGGAAGCTGTACGCCGGCTCCCTCGGCCAATAAAGCGCAACCCCAGAGTCGGTCACAACTGGACCTAATGGTCAGGGGTCCCTTTACCTTTATAGGCAACTAATTGCTTGTTAAACAGCCTTTTGCATTCACCACAAATTATGCTTACCAGAATTAATATGGCTTCCTGGCTGTGGACGTGGACGTGGGTATGGCTGAGGGTTCGGAGGAGGACCATCTAGAAATGACAGGTACAATTTGAAGAAGTGAAAAATCAAAACAAGGCACAGAATTCTACTTTGTTTGCTTTAGCCTTTGCTGGGCTTTAGTTCTAGAAATACCTTGAAGGTTTCCATCTTTAAAGGTTGAGCCTAACATGCCCTAACTGGTTTTACAGAGTTTCCTTTTTCTTTTTTAAAGTTTAGTTTAGTTAAAATCAAGCCCTGATGATTATTCCTTTTTAAAAAGTTTACATAAATATCTGTGTTATGTTACAAAAACACAATATTGGACCATAAGGAAAAAATAGCCAATTTACCGGTACTTCTGTTGATGCTTCTGTGTCGGTAGTGAGAGCACAGATGTGGTAACCACAAGAAGCTCATGTGCCCATTATTATTTCTAAAAGGTATGGATGAAAAATGCAAAACACACTAAGAAGCAAGAGTCTCAAACTTTTTCAATAGGGGATGCAACATGTGAGTCTTCTGATGCAATGCATATCTAAGGCTGTAATCCTATGCACCTTGCCTGAGAATAAGGACTATTGAGCATAGTATGATTTCCAAGTAAACATTCCTAGGATTATAATATCTTGCTTGTATGGTGGTGCAAGGCCTACATACCTCCATAAATTAACTACTCCATTTTTCTGTATTGCATCCTAAATATACCTGAAACTAGACTGAAGGTCTTAACTTGTCAATTTTAATGTTGACCCTGTTTTCGCCATCACAATGAGTTCATAAATTCATAGAATGCACATGTGAAAAGGCTAAAGTCTGATTCATAACCCTGTTAATCCAGATTACATGGATTTAAATGAGTAATGCAGAATGTGTTTAGATGAATTTAAGTTAAATTAGCATTACAAGTTTAAATCCAACTAATCAGAGTTCATTGATTTGTGGATTTAGCTGAAAAAAATATGAAAAGATTATTGCAAAATGCAGGGGATGGACAAATACTTACCACCAGCACCGAGGGCATCTCCTAAGTGAAAGTCGGGATCTAAAAGAAATAAAAATATATTACAAATGGATGAGCATTATCAGTGTAGATAAAATACCAGTTTTCAACAATAAATGAAAGCATTAAAATAGGGGGGGGATGAACAATTATAACACCCATCCCATGTCTACACCCAGACATTTCATCCCATCATTTATAATCCATCTTTTAATCTAAAATTGGATAGGGATCCTGCAGCCCTTCAGATATTATTGAACTACCATCAGCCACAGCCACCAATGGTCAGTGATGATGGGAATTGTCCTGCAATGTATAGAATGCCACAGGTTCCCGTTCCTTAATCTAAAGTTTACATTCTCTCTCTCTCTCTCTATATATATATATATAGACACACACACACACACACACACACACACACCACACACACACACACACACACACAACTACAACAACAGTACACAGTGTATTTCAGGGCTGATCTGCTCAAGTCTGACATGTTAAGAGAACATTTCCCCCCAAAAAAACTCATAATAGCAGGGAAAACTTAGGATAGAACTTAGAAAAATACTAATCTAATAAGGATTTCCAAAACATTTATGCTTATATAACTCTAATTATCAGAAATAAACACTCATACTTTTTTAGATTTTAAAAGTGAAAATAATTCTTACCATTGTTTCCGTTGCCACCTCCGTGTGGTCTAAGGTCAGGATACAGCTTAGGTCTGGAGTTGCCATCTATTAAACATTTCAAGAAGTGTATCCATGAAGAGAAACAAAATGGAAATCAGAATTAATGCTCCTTTTAAAAATCTGTATCCAGTCTTAACTATTAAATTTTAAATCTGCCTCATTAACAATGTAAATCATTCATTCCGTTATTTCCTTGGCCACCTGAATGTGGTTCATATATTTTTCTTTCCTTAGCAAGAGCATTGTTTTGACTTCCTTAATTTAAGGCAAGGGTCACTAGCCTTTATAGCACATGAAACACATTTGAAGTTTTGGGAAAGTGCCCGAGCACCAGCCACAAAAATGGCTGCCGTGTGAGTCTGGCATCACACAAAATGTCTACCACATCGAAAAGAGCATAAAAAGAGGGAGTATAATTACAGCAACTCACCCACTGAAGGCTTTTTGGTAGCTGGAGGAGGCTTTGGGGTACCTAACACAATTAAAATTAAAGTTAGTGTATCATACAGCTTATCAAAAGCAGGGGCAACTTGATATTACATTTCTCACCCCAAGTGAGATGGTTGAGGTTGAAATTCTATACTCATTTGGCTGCAGGGCAGCACTTTCTTCTTTCAGCTCAGGTGGCAAAATGGGACACACCACTCCTGACCTGTATATACATTGCATTGTGAAATATGATTGGCCTTTTCTTTCAAAGCAGGGTTTGGGAAGTCCAGACTTGAGGGCCAAATGTAGCCACCTAAGCTCCTCAGGGACTCTTCCCTGTTCCATGCCATCCTTATGCACTCTCACTTGACTGGAAGGTGTCCTCCTTGAACTGCAATACAGTGGTACCTTGGGTTAAGAACTTAATTCGTTCTGGAGGTCCGTTCTTAACCTGAAATTGTTCTTAACCTGAGATACTACTTTAGCTAATGGGGCCTCCTGCTGCCACTGTGTCACCACTGCACGATTTCTGTTCTCATCCTGAAGCAAAGCTCTTAACCCAAGGTACTATTTCTGGGTTAGCGGAGTCTGTAACCTAAAGCGTCTGTAACCTGAAGCGTCTGTAACCCGAGGTACCACTGTAATGCCTCTTGCTTGCTGGGATGGAAGATGGAGGAGGTGTGTGTGTGTGTGTATGTGTTAGAAACTTCTGACTTTTACATGGCTGAAATGTAGCCTGCCATGTAAGATTATCTTAAGTATTACATTTGCCCAATTTTGCCTGGAACCCCTACTACCACAGCACCCAGGTGGTTTCCCATGCAGGAATGTGGTCCCTGGACTGAAGAAGATGTTCCCACCCCTGCTTTAAAGTAGAAGGAACTCCCAATGGTCTCTCCAGATTTATATTTTGTCACCTCCCTTCTCCCAGATAGCAAGTAGCTGATGCTGGATACCCCTGATCCAATCAAGAAGAATCGCACTTCATGGCATGTAAAATTATGTTTAAAATGAAGAATTATTGGGCCAATATCCAACTGCATCTTCTGTAAATCCTCCTCCAAACTCTACTCCTGGGTAAAGAAGGTGCCATCCAGAACCCCAAACTCACTATTTGAGTTTCCCTGTGCTAAAAAAAGGTTGCTATTTAGAAAGACAAGTTTCTAAAAAAACAAACAAAAAAACCCCCCAAAACAACAACATGTACACACAATGGCATCTGTTGAATGATTCTTCTGGGAGGATTGTGCATATGTAGTTCTTTGCATAGGTTGTTGGGTGGGAAGGAATAGCAAGGACAAATAGTTTGGGAAAAGTTAGGATATGCATAATTTACATACATGCTCCTTTGAATCCTAGATTTGGGTTTCACTTTTAGTCTTGACCAGAAGAGGGAGATCTCCACCAAATCATATTAAACATGTTCTGCCTCTTTAAAAAAATTCTTTTAAAAATGATAACAAGAATAAAAATAAAAATGACTAATCTTGAACTGCAGCATTTGTTTACTTCTTTTAGACCCTTTTGTTAATTGTGTTTTGCTTCTTCAGAAAATCTACCCAGGATTCCACATTTATTTCTGTACAATGATGTCCAGTTTTGCCATTGACTTAAACTGAAAGAGGAGTCACTTCAGTTTGATGTTTAGATCAAAAAAATAATATTCAAAAAAATTTTTTGCCAGGAATCTTACCTTTGTCAAGAGCATCTGCTAAGTCAAAATCATCATTGCCTATCAAAAGAACACAATAATTTAGAAAGACATTGTAACAGAAAGCAAAGCTTCAATCTGCCTTGTCTCCCCAGAATATCTGCCAAGGATTCTGACCTGCTATAACAACATGATGGCAGACGTATAGCCTGAGCTTTATATAAAATTTGAAAGATTGTGGTTGCTCTGAGTTAAACTAGTCTGGAAGGAACCCAAAATGAACTTTCCCCTCCCCAACTTGATACAGTGGTACCTCAGGTTAAGTACTTAATTCATTCCAGAGGTCTGTTCTTAACCTGAAACTGTTCTTAACCTGAAGCACCACTTTAGCTAATGGGGCCTCCTGCTGCCGCCGCGCCGCCAGAGCCCGATTTCTGTTCTTATCCTGAAGCAAAGTTCTTAACCTGAAGCACTATTTCTGGGTTAGCAGAGTCTGTAACCTGAAGCGTATGTAACCCGAGGTACCACTGTATTAGTAAATTTTATTTTCTATTCTGTTCCTAATGATTCCCATCACAGAATGTGTCTTCTTCCACAGCTGTTGCACCCGGGTCCCATGGAAGATGGCATGACTGATGCAGTTGGCCCACTTGATTCAAAACAGGAACTCTCAGAAATAAAACATAATGATCTCATTTACAGAATCACACTAGCTTAATTCATCAGAATGAGCATGAAACATGTGATGCAGCCTCTAGAGTCTAGAAAACAGTTTGGCTGCAACTCCAAAAAGCTTGTTTACAAATTCCCAAAGTAAACTTAATGGAAGTGTTTGAAAACAAGTATTTTGGTTTGCAGGTATTGTTTCCCTCCCAAAATAAAAAGGATGTTTACAATGGTAAACAATGTGCCATCAAGATTTCTTCCTGAAGTCTTGAATTCTCTCCTCCTGCTGCATGGTGGCAAACCTCTTGAAACTAAAGGGACTTTCATAAACTGTGAATATTAGATAGTAGAAGATTATACCTGGCATGCCCAATAACCTGGGAATGCTTAAGATACCCAATCAGGTATATTATAACTGTTTGCTCAGCACAGAGTTCAACTACGGGAGGCAGTAATTCTGGTTTTGTCTCCATTCTCCTCTCTGCTGAACACTACAATGGCAACACTGGTACTAAGATGGAGGAAGGAAACAGTACCACCCACTGAACTGGTTGTAGTCAAGTGATGGTTTCCTGAAGGCAGACTGCAGTTGCTCTACTAGACTGAAAGTGTGAGGTTGTGTTCTGTTGGTGAAGCAAGCAGGGATTTGAGGAGTTTCTGGGCCAGGATGGTAAAAACTGGGGGTGCCATACGGATTAGAAATAACCATTTAAACTTGGGCCCAAAGCATAACTGAAAAGTGCAATAGAAATGATTAATAATTATATGGATGCAGTGACATTGTTTCATTAAGACCTCTTCCTGTCTGTGCTCTAGTTAATCTGTAGTCTTTCCATCGCTCTGCAAGTTAAGCAAATGAGGCATTAGGAAAGACAAAGCACTGTAGCACATAGGAAATGTGAAACGGTGAAATAATTCCACTTTAAGTGCCAATAGAACTGCAGCAGTATAAAATCTGATTGATGTATTCACATAACATTGAGGGGGAAGCAGAATCAAAATTGCTTTTAGCATAGCTACAGTTGCTGTGCAGATCAGGAGACAGCTACTAAAAAACAAACACAAAAGCTGCTACACTGAAAAACTTTACATTGTTTCTGATCAGAGTTGTGATGGCACTGTTTCCTAGCTTTGCTATTTTTTTGCAATGGATGGGGTGGGATTCTCTAGAGCCTATGCGTTTATAATTCTGGATTGAATCTGAGGCTGAGTACATACCACATATTTAAAGTGCATCTTCCACCCTACAAAGAATCTTGAAAACTGTCACTTGCTTAAGGTGCTGGGAACCATGGCTCTGTGAGAATTATCCCCAGAATTATCGGATGGGGGTACTTTCAATGTATTGTGTGTATGTAGTCTTACATTCATTTTGGATCTGGAAAAATCAACAAGAAGTGACGTTTCTCATCCATTCTTACTTAATAACAATGTCTTCTGAATTGGGAAGAAGCCCAATTCAATGACAAATTCATCTCTCCACACCACATTTTTTTTATACCGTGAGTACATCACAGTCTCTTGGGAGTTGGACAGCCCTGCCATATATCAACAGATTTTAGATTTTAGTTGCTCTTCAGTGCCCAGCAAATGCCTGATGTTGGGGGGGAAATGTTGATGTAGCAATGTGCTAAAAGCCACACAGTGTTGTGAATAAATGTTCCGATATATTTTGTGCATGTGTGGTGAAATTACAGGACCACAGGGTAAGAAATGGCACCTTGAGTTAAGACAGAAAGTGGTGAACCACACTGTGTATCTGGTCAGAACCACAGTGCTTCAATAACTATCAGCCATAATAACCAACAACCATGCCAGCTCCTTAACTGTTCCTCTGAATCTGCCTCTAGAAAATATAATGTTAGGACAGTCTAATAAACTGATCTGGATGCTGAAGTAGTAAGATGTTATTAGATGCCCAAGACCCATCAGTCTTGATCAGCATGGCCAGTGATCAGTGGTGATGGGAGTTGTAGTCCAATACAGTGGCGTGCAGTGAAATTTTTCATAGGAGAATAGTTAGGGCCAAAGGCACTAGCTTGCAAGGACAACCATTGCTCACCTTGGACATTGCAACATCCTGACACTGTGTGTGTGAGCATTGTGCCCCCCTCCCTAAACTAGGCAGAAGCTTCATGAGCTTTGGGAAGGAGGCACCAGAGGAACATTTAGCGGATTAGCTTAGTTCCCGTAGTCCACTGACGGCACACCACTGGTCCAATAACATCTGGAGGACCACAGGATTCCCATACCCGCCCTAGAGCATCCTTAGATCCCATTGACAAGCCATGAAACGCCTGAGGTCTGGGATCACTCAGTAAATCCCAGCATGGTGATGCAAGGACAGATTACACTAGAAGCTGCAGGTGATATCATCAATGTAAAAGGCCATAAGTCAGTAGTAGGCCATTTGCTTTGCATGCAAAGAAGGTCTCAGGCTCAATCCCATACCTGAAAGGCATCTCCAGGTAGGGCTGAGAATGACCAGCATGTGAACCCTAGAGAGCTGCTGTCAGTTGGTGTGCAGACCATACTGAGCTGGATAGAACAATGGGTCTATTAAGTATAAGGTAGCTTCCAGTGCTCCTAATTCAAATGCTTGGAGTTGTGCAGACAGTGAAAATGGATTGGTAAAAATAGTCCTTTTCCAATAACAACAGACAATCTCACCAAAAACATCTCCTCTGTGGAACATCTGTACATGCAGCAGAGCGCCAGTTTCTTTTTATTGCACTGCTTTGTTCCAACAAATCTGTGTTGAACAGCGGATGAATATTTTGAAAAGCCAGCAATATATTCTGTCTAAAGGGAAACTCATACCCTCCAACATTTCACCAGTTACAATAGGGACATCCCATTCCATAATGATAACTTTGCTATTTATACGCCACACATCTTACTGGGTTGCCCCAGCCACTTTGAGCAGCTTCCAACATATATAAAAAAACATAATTAAATATTAAACATTTTTTAAAAAAACTTCTCTTCAGATGGCTCGAAGGTCAGATAACTCCACACCCTCCAACATTTCTCCAATGAAAGTAGAGACATCCTTAGGAAAAGTTGGACTTCCCAGGATCAAATCAGAAACCGGGACAGTTTATTTAAATCAGGGATGTCCCTGGAAAATTAGGACAATTGGAGGGCCTGGAAACTATCCTGAAAATCTGGCAACATGAGTAGGGTTGCTTTCTAATGACAAAAAATGGAACATGGGCAGCTTCAGTGAATGAAAAATGGGTAATCATTCTCCTCTCCAGTGATTTTTGCTCTGTAGTATCCGTATTTTAAAACTGGAGGAAATAGGATGTGATAAGTGACTTCCTGGATGACACAAGCACCTCATTACTCAGTTCCCTCTAGACACCGTTATCGAGGCAATTTGCATGGCAATCTCAATAGGTACCTCATTACTGGCTTTTGAGCGGTTCTGCAGTTGGAGTGCAGGAAAATGCAACTTTGTGAGGGAAATGGCTTTGTTGACACAGAAGATAGAGGCATGCAGGGCAATCACACACATACTTTCATGGTTTGGGGGAGCAAAGTCTATTATTAGGGCATCAATGATTTAATTCATGCTATATTGAATTTTAATATACTGTGATTAACAGCCGGAGGAGATAATGAAGCAGAAGTGAGAAAACAGAGAGCAACCACAGTCTCTCAGTATCCTTGCTGCAGTATGAAATTGTATCCTTTGTCTTATCTAAGAGTGAGAATTGCAAGGGAATATAGAAATAAATTATGGGGAAACAGGTGGCCCTTTATGCAATATTGTCAATAAAATAATTACCTCCCACAAAAGGAAATTCAGGTAGGTTTTGAGTTTTTATAAAAGAAATGTTGTAATTTTCTGCTAAGTTCTATTTACTTGTGGAATATTATGATCTGAAGGTTTTTAAAAATAAAAAACAGTTTTGTTGATCATTGTTAATAATGGTTTTATATATATATATATATATATATATATATATATATATATATATATATATCATCCTTTATAGCACCACCAAAGTCTGCTTTGTTCATTTTGTTCAGGAGAGTCACTACAAAGAAGCAATGATAGATAGATGATAGATAGATAGATAGATGATGATAGATGATAGATAGATAGATAGATAGATAGATAGATAGATAGATAGATAGATGATAGCTAGATAGATGATAGATAGATATAGATAGATAGATGATAGATAGAGATATAGATGATAGATGATAGATAGATAGATAGATAGATAGATAGATAGATGATAGAGATAGATAGATAGATGATGATAGATGATAGATAGATAGATAGATAGATAGATAGATAGATAGATAGATAGATAGATAGATAGACAGATAGATATAGATGATAGATAGATGATAAATAGATAGATAGATGATAGATAGATAGATAGATAGATAGAGATAGATAGATGATAGATAGATGATAGATAGATAGATAGATAGATAGATAGATAGATTAGAAAAATGACATTGCAATGGGGGAATGGTGCAATCCTGCATTATTTCTCTTTCTTTCATAGCTTTATCTGTGGGCAAGCGCGCACAAAAATGTCACACTTTAAAAACAGCTTCAAGCTGCACAGGTAGCAGGATCTGTGACATCACAGGTATTATCAACAGTCAAAGAACAACCAACTGGATTTCTATTATTGAAACGTAGATTGACAGGCCTTTGACCCTTCCTGTTTTGTGGTCTCTCCCCTACCTTAGCTCCTCATTATTTGCTTAGAAATTACAGAAGCACAGACTTGGAAGGGACCATGGGCCTCATCAAATCCAACCTCGTATTCATGCAGGAACCTTGTAACATAAACAGTCATGGAAATGGTTTCAGCTGTGTGCGTTTTCCTAAACTGAGTGTGTACTGCAGACAGGGAAAACAGGTTGATCAGCAGCACTGTCAACAACCACTTAAGACAGTGGCTCATAAGCCAAGGGAAGAGAAGACGATGATAAAGAAGAGTGAAAGAGGTTGCTTATGATTCAGAGGCCATGACTAACTTCCAAGAGGATCGCAGGCACAGACTCATGAACATGCCCCTTCGTCGCTAGCAGGTTGTCAACATGATTCATCATCTTGAAGCCATGAGGTGAGATTGGCATTCATAGATGACGTTCAAACAACACTTAAAGATTGGGACTTTGAAAGAAAGGTGTGGAACATGTGACTGCAGTCCTCATGTCAGCTTCTTAGTGCCCTAGATGTGTATTTGATACTGTGCTTGAAGCAGAGTCTAGTTTGGACCAAGGATAATGGATACCCAGATGTAGATAGTCCAATGAAATAGTTTCCAAAGCAATCAGGATGCATTTATACAACAAACAGGGCTATCGGGTATATGTGGAGCTGAAACAGAGAATTGACAGGACTTCAGTGTGGAGCATGGACTATTTGGAAATATTCTAGGGCTATGTTTGGCCTTGGGGGGCCTGACATTTTAGGGAAGGGTGGGCACTCAAGTCAAGTGCAAATCAGTAGTATCAAAAATAAGTATTGGTAATGAGGTTTCACTACAAATAGTCCCTCATGAGGACATAACTGAAATCCTAAAGCAGACTATGGATTCTGTCATAGGAGCAATATACATTATTATTATTATTATTATTATTATTATTAGTCAGCGTCGTATAATACCACCCTTCATCCAAAGATCTCAGAGCAGTTCACAACATAAAAATACAACTGTTGAATTGAATATGTCCTATAAAATACACCGTTCAATATACATGCTGCTTCTGCATTTGAAAACTGAAGTCTTACCAAGTGTCATAAAGAGGCAACTCCCAGTCTATTTTTTTTTGTAGAACAAGAAAGTCCACATACCAAACTTAATGAGATGGTGTGGATTATCATTCTTCACCTACTCGGATGAACTTTCTTCTTCTCTGGAAGACTGTCATCCTTTCAGTCATTCATTAGTTATGTGATAAACTGAAAAGCTTGTCCAGCACACCAGTTTTCAGGCAATTATCATTCATTTCAGAAAAATTGGACTAACTTTTGTAAATTAGGACTGTTAGCATTAATGGATTAAATTTTAAAATGAATGAGTCAGGAAAACAGTTTGTTCAATAATGCTCAAGACGAGTCACTAGATCAGGAGTTTGCAAGCCACATAATACAGCTGTATGGATAATGCACCTATATTAATACAAATATCACCTTTTTTTGGCAAGAACTTGCATTCCTCTCTCTTCTCATTCTGGTAAAGACTTTCACTTGCAATTCAGAGTTTGCAAAGAGCATCTGTTCATTGCAGGCCTTGGGTTCTTTCTGCTTCCATAGTTTGTAATAGCAAAGCCATGCCTAGGCCTATAATCTTGCTGGATTTTGCCTCCTGCCTCTGCCCTCTCCCTCCATTGCATGCAAAAATAAAAATGCAAACTCATGAGATTACCTACAGATGATTGGTGCTATTGGAAGTCTGAACTCATTACATTATGTATTTAAAAAGCTAGTTGGTGCTTTTTTTAAAAAATAAAAATATAGCAGTACTGATTATAATGCTAATAAGCAGCTTCCAGATTGCAGTAAAAGGGTTTGGCGTTTTAAAAAAAATGCAAAATGAATATGACCAAGTTGTACAATCCTCTTTTTAAGCATTCTGTTTATCCAAATCTGTAATTTAAAGGTCTAATAATTACAGCTGAATACACTTCCGTTAAGTAGACTTTCTAACAGAAAGAGGTGGCCGCCTCAGGAAGCTGATGTTGGGTATAATGGAAAGGCAACAAAGGGTTCTCTCCTGCCCTCCGCCCCCTTAATGTATCAATTTTATCTGTTATTGGTTGTGGGATTTTCTGCCTCAAGGTGCCAAAATAATGTGACCAGCCTTGGTTAAGGTTCACCATGACTAGAGATAAGACATTTTGCTGCCTGAGGCAGAGCAACAAATTATTCCTTAAGTTGCATACACACCATACATTTAAAGCACATTCTCCCCACCCCCAGCAAAAATCATGGGAACTCTAGTTTATTCCTCACAGAGCTGTAAGTCCCAGCCATTTAGCAAACTACAATTCCCAGGATTCTTTTGGAGGAGGGCATTTTCTTTAAATTGGCTTTAAATATATGGTGTGTATGCAGCCTCCGTGAAAGAAGGTTCTGGACTTACTCCCAAATATGTGTTGATGGGAGTTCATCTTAAATTAGGGTTACCATACGTCCAGAATTTCTGGAATACTGCAGCTGCAAGCAGTGTCCAGGTGGAAATCAGGAAAAAGCTCAACTACTTTTCTGTCCGGATGTGAACTTTTTCAAATATGGCAACCCCAGCTTAAATAAGACCAAATATTGTGTTTGCCGATGTGCTTCGTGATAATGTTCTGGTCCAATGAAAAAGTTAACACCACATGATACAAAGAACCACAGTTGGTTGATGTTTACATCTTAGAGCTATATAGCTGGGAAATGGCCCCTTTGTTGGAAATGAACTGCAAAATAATAAAAATAATATTTGTTGTTGTTGTTTATAATCCAAAGAAATGATCGGGCAACAACACTTATGTATGCAGAACTGATCTCTCTAATTATTATTAATGTTAGATGCCCCTGCTCTAACCAGAGGTGGAGCTAACTGCTCCAGCACCTGGAGTGGCACACATGCTGTGCACTCGGGGGCAGGGCCATGGGGGCGGGGTGAGCGTCCCAGGGGGCAAGCCACCCATAGGGGGATAGCGACCCGCCCATGGTGGGCTGTTTCCTGGGCAGGGGAGGGGAGGGGAGGGAGCCACACCTCTTTGCCAGCAGCCTTCCTCCCTTCCCTCTTCCTTTTGACAGCTCAGGGGAGGCTCCCGCCCCAGGAAGCAGCCCAAGAGCGGGGGGCAATGGCACGCCACCTGCCCACAACTCCCAAGCCTCCCCCAAGCTGTCAAAATGAAGGGGAGAAGGCCGCCAATAAAGTGGCACAGCTCCGCCCCTTCCCCTGACGGCTTGGGGTAAGCTTGGGAGTCGCGGGCGGGTGGCTCACCAAATGTCACCCCCCCTCAGTGATGACACCCAGGGCGGGGGCCCCCACCGCCTCCCTTTCCTCCACCCCTGGCTCTAACTATCATAGACATGTGCTTGGAAGTTTATTTTTCCTTATTGGAGAAATACGTACATACCAGGAGAAATAGAAGCCTTATTAAAATCTGAATCTTCTAACCTGTTTGAATTATCTTATTCAGTCATTTTCTTTTTTAGGCACCCCCAGGGTTTTATTTACTTAACAACATTTACAGACTGCTGTTCAAGTGAAACTTGTTCAGAATGCAGCTTGCAACAACTTAAAATATTTTTTTAAAGACTCTATATAAAAGCTATCGTTAAAACAACAAACATGCAAACTGCATACAAGCAAAAGTAAGAAACTGCCATTACCCTTAAATGCCAAGTGGAATGAAATAATCTTCAGATGTCCACTGAAGGTGACCATAGGGCATCTTTGGGGATATTAATCCACAACTCTGGAACCAATAGAGAAAAAGACATGCTCCTCGGGGATGATCTCAACCATCTCACCTTCCCAAAGGAGGGAAGCTGGAGCAGGCTCTTGTGAGCAGACCTGAAGGCCCTGGTGGCTTCCTATGCAATTACTCCCTGATACACCCAGAATGCAGAGGTCTGTAAACAAACTGTTTGCCAATATGGATGTTTTAGATGTCTTTTCACCAGCCTATGAGTGTCAAGAGATGGGGAGCCATGTTCTGTACCAGCTGCTGCTTCAGAACAATTGTCAAGAGCAGCCCAATGGGTTTAAACCAATGTAGAGATCACAGAGGTAGAAACATAGGCAAATATCTTCTCTTCCAGCAGCAGGAGGTGGAGCTGACAAAGTAATAAGTTGGGTATGGGGCACTCTTGTCCACACCTACCATCTGATGGTTGGAAGAGCACTACAACCCACCCCAAAGTTTCCGAGAGAACCTGTATCTTTTCATCCTAGGCATAAAATGCAGGAAGGACCACATCATCAACAAATTATGAGCCTATTGGGGCTTAATGCTTCATTGACCACCCCATGCCAGATGTGAAAAGAGCCACAAGGGCTTCTTACCTGTGACCGTGAGCAGAAAGCAACCTGCACACAAAAGGGCAGCTGCCAACTTCACCATGGCCTTGCTTGTCTTCCTTTTGTCTGAAGCGGATAAAGGAGTCACAGCTCTACAGTTCCTTTCCTTGTTTCGTTAAGAAGAAAGACCCCCACGCAGATTATGACTGTATACTCCCATGAACCGCTTGTGGTCTCGCAGGTGTCCTACCGAGAAGCCCACGTCACACACAGGAGAAAAGGTTTGGAAGGCATCAAAAGCTGATTGCAAAGTATCTCAAACAAACAATTGGCAGCTGCATTATACAACACCCACATCTGCATCCATTCACCTATGAGCAAGAGGCATGTAGATTCAGGAAAAGGGAGGGATCAGCTGTTTGCAGCCAGTCAAAAAGCACAAATTAAGGCTTTCCCCAGCTCACCTCCCTTCCCACAGAGAAGACACTCAGTGTTCGGAAATAATTGTCATATGATTAAGCAGCCAAGCAGGGTGTGGCATAAGTATGCATTATGCTAATCCCCGGCAGAAGGAAAATGTCTGTGAAGCAAGCTCAACCAACTTGTTGTAAAATCACCAGAGAGCTGTGGGTCACATCTTTGCTTTGCAGAGAATGAGTGCAAATAGTCAAGGAGGATCCCCTTGTTGAATTCCCCATCTGTTATTACAATAGTTGAGACAGAGAAAGGATGGAACGAAAGCCCAAACTATACACAGGCTACCTGTAAACAAGCTGTCAAAACATGTCCTGGCCATCTGTAGGTGTTGCAGCGCAAGAACTTGAAAAGCTCCCTGATTGAAAGCTTGATTCACTCAGCTGCTCATGAATCATATGATTCAACTGGAAAAGAGAGAGCAAGTTTCCTCACATTTTGACTAGCAGCATAGCTTGCATGTGACAAAGCACAGAACAAGAAATAACTTGGAATTAACATGCTGCAAAACAGCAACTTAAGTTGCACATTATACAGCCAACCATTTAGTACCAAGATGCAGGGTGATCATGTAAGATTAGTTTTGAGTAGGCATGAGTAGTTTTGGCAGGGTTATGCTTTCCGATAATGCTGCCCTCTTTAAAAGATTAACAGTGTTGGATATACTGCTGTGGAGAGTCAAGCCATGTTTGTCTTCAGTGCATTTTATTATATGTTGTTGTTGTTGTTTAGTTGTTTAGTCATGTCCGACTCTTTGTGACCCCATGGACCAGAGCATGCCAGGCACTCCTGTCTTCCACTGCCTCCTGCAGTTTGGTCAAACTTATGCTGGAAGCTTCCAGAACACCGAATTGAACACTGGAAGTAGTAGTTGCTGTAAGGTGGGGCAGGTCCAGCATGAATGTGGTCATGCACTTATCCATGGATTAGTTTTGGGTGCAGGATTGAAAGACAGCTTGCCCAGGAGTCATGTAGGGTGGTCACTTTTGTTGTTGCTGTTTAGTCATTTAGTCGTGTCCGACTCTTCGTGACCCCATGGACCAGAGCAAGCCAGGCACTTCTGTCCTCCACTGCCTCCCGCAGTTTGGTCAAACTCATGCTAGTAGCTTCAAGAACACCATCCAACCATCTCGTCCTCTGTCGACCCCTTCTCCTTGTGCCCTCCATCTTTCCCAACATCAGGGTCTTTTCCAGGCAGTCTTCTCTTCTCATGAGGTGGCCAAAGTATTGGAGCCTCAGCTTCAGGATCTGTCCTTCCAGTGAGCACTCAGGGCTGATTTCCTTCAGAATGGAGAGGTTTGATCTTCTTGCAGTCCATGGGACTCTCAAGAGTCTCCTCCAGCACCATAATTCAAAAGCATCAATTCTTCGGCGATCAGCCTTCTTTATGGTCCAGCTTTCACTTCCATATATCACTACTGGGAAAACCATAGCTTTTACTATATTATTTTATTATATATATATACATAAACATATAGACACCATCACAGTCTTTCCTGCAAGGAAATCAATGCTGAGATACATATTTCTCCCCATTTTATCTTCATAATAACCCTGCGAGGTAGGCTAGGTGGACAGATACGACTGGCTTAAGATCATAAAGGTAGCTACAATCCAAGGCCACTAGCCAAGTGTGATGGCCTGGGACTCGGGCTCAGGCTCGGAACCAGAGGAGACTCAGTCTGCACTGGATCCTTTGCCTCAGGCATCATCTGAACCAAGTCTGAGGCCTGATCCTGAAGAGTCCCAGTCTGCAAAGGTTCCCCTGCAACAAACACCAGCTGGGCTGAGTCAGGGGCCTGAGCCTGCCCTGGCTCCAGATGTGGGGATTACCTCATTGCCTTCAGCTGGGCCATCACTTACAGCTGCTTCCCTACCGGTTTGGTCAGGGGAGGCTGAGGCAGCCCCTGGGTCTAGTAACCCACAATGTCTCCTGAGCTGCAGAGACTAAGGTCTGAGAGAAGGAGAGACCTGAGTACTCGCAGGAGGAGTGCTCGCCTTTGGGCAAAACAGGGAGGTGAGTCGCCAGGGGATCAGGACCGGCTGCTACTCCGACAAAAAGGCTGTCGGACCTCGCCCCAGGTTGCAGGAGCAACATTGCTGTATGCTAGATCCTGTACCTGTCCTTGCCTGGTTTCCTGCCTTGGCCCTGTCGGAAAGACTCCCAGCAGAACCTTCAGATTCTGGACAGGCCCTGGACTACATTTCATGGGTTACCCCCAGGCCCAGCACACCATGATGGCTGCGTACTACTTTCAGGATCAGAGGAAGTATCTGTATACTACTTCAGAACCTGCATTTCTGTACACATTACTTGTCTAGAAATACGCATTGAAAAATTCAGAGAAGGGTGGATTTCAAGGCTGATTTTGTTTTGGTTCATGCAATGTTTCAGAAAGTGTGAATTTGGGTTAGGGTATCAGCTTTGAATGTGATCTGAATCCATTTTCTTCCCCATCCCTACTCACTACTTGTTCAAACAAATGGCAGAATCCAGAACGCCCATTTCTGGCACAGGCACATTTTTGTGCAAGGAGTGATGGAGAGGGGGGGAAAGGGCTGTTCCAGGATCCTCAGCCCTGGGCCTGCTCTCCCAAACTATTATCTTTTGGGGGCTCTGGGACACTAGTGTTGTATTGGTCAACTTGCAGTGGGCAACAGAATGAGAAAGCAGCCAGCCACAGGCTGGTCTTGAAGAGTGTGCCTCTCTGGTCTACAAATGGAAAATAAACTGTTATTTCAAAACCCAAGAGGGGACCAGAGTTTAACCAAGGTTGGTATTTATTTTGTAAATAATGAGTATATGCCTACTTTCCATGGCTGACACAGATTGCAGATTTGGAATCGAGTTGGCATACAACTGTTACTTTCGATCATAGCATAAACATAGCCCTGCTTATGTTCACCGTGACCATTTTTCCTGGCTGGCAACTTGTTGCTGTTGTTGTTTACATCAGGGCAAAGCTTTGCAGTGAATAAAGATAGAGGAGGAAGCAACACTGGCTCTCTCTCTTACTTCATTCCTGCTCAAAACTCAAGGAACAGGCCATGGGTTCTTTAGCTCCCTTCCTAAGTCACTGCATGCAGTGAGAGCAACAACTGAAACTTTGGCAGAGCTCTCCTGATACAACCCCTCCCTGACGCTCCCTCAAAGACTGGCAAAATGGCACTAACTTCCTCAGATGCTCATGCCCACCTGTGAATCATAAGTCCAAGGGTGTGAACAGACGGCACATGATGCCACAGACTTGCCGTAGCTATGCTAAGTCTGTTTCTGGATTAGATGCTGTAGACTTATGAACATTGCCTTGAGCACCCATGGAAGAATTGTGGGGGGTATCAATAAAATAAGGTTATCAGTCCAGGTTGCTAAAGGGGAGAACTATATTCACTATACACCTATGAAAAGGTGTAGTAGAGCCCTATCACTTCACTGTGGCTTTGAAAGCTATGATGGAGGCTACATTAAGGTCTTCTTGCTTACTCCTAGCTTACTGGCATCCTTCCAAAGCTAGTCCAGATATTCACCTACGGTAATTTAAAACCAAACCAGTTCATCATCAGTTATTGTGTGCAGAGCAGGGCAACTAAGATGATCAAGGGTCTGGAAGCCAAGCCTTATGAGGAACGGTTGAAGAAGCTGGGTATTCTTAACCTGGAAAAGAGGAGACTGAGGGGAGATATGATAGCCATCTTCAAATATCTAAAGTGTTGTGACATGGAAGATGAAGCAAGCTTGCTTTCTCCTGCTCTGGGGGGTAGGACTCAAACCAATGGCTTCAAGTTACTAAAAAGGAGGTTCGTACTAAACACCAGGAAGAACTTTCTGACAATAAGAGCTGTTCGACAGTGGAAAGGTCTCCCTTGGGAAGTTGTAAACTCTCCTTCTTTGGAGGTTTTTAAGCAGAGCTTGGGTGGTCATCTGTCTTGGATGCTTTAGCTGAGATTCCTGCATTGCAGGGGTTTGGATGAGATGACCCTTGGTGTCCCTTCCAAGTCTACAATTCTATGATTGTTGACAAGCCGCTTATATTTTTTTGGTTTTCAATCCCAAAGCCTCTGCTAAAATCATACAGCCATTTTGTCTAGTCCCCCTTAAAAACATACAGACAAGCGAAAAAGTTTTAGGTTTTGTTGATTTTTATTTTTAAAAAAAGATCACAAGTATTATATCTTAATTACCAAATTCCTAGAAGTTCTTGCAATCTAAGGAGCCACAACACTAATTCACAACCTGTGGTCCCCCAGATGTTGCTGGACTCCAACTCCCATCAGCGCCAGGCAGAATGGCCAATAGTCAACGAAGATGGCAGTTGTAGTCCGGCAATCACTGCAGAAGCAAAGGCCCACCATCCTTACTCTACTTGAAGTTTAGCACACTCAAACAGCTACTGTTTTAAGTCATTTTATCACATAGTACACATGAAATAAGATGGGATGAAATAAAACAATGATTCCCATTAGAAATTGATGGCCTGATTGTATGTCTGTTTATTCAGAAACAAGCCCCACTGACCTCAATATAGTTTACTTCCAAATACATATAGGAGTGCAGCCAATTTTATACACACGTCATTGGGAAGTAAGCTGTCCTGAGTTTTGTGGAGCTTTAGATAATATATGCAAAGGTGTGGGGGTATTGGGCACAAAATTCAGACTCTGCTGTTTAGGAATGACATAGAAACATCTTTAGAAATCAGCAGCATTCCAATATTAAGCTTAGCATTGCTTGTAGTTTACAAAATGATTATTTTCTTTTTTAAAAAAGTATTGCCACTTTGCAAGTTGCATTCAGTGGCACATATTGCCTCAAAATGCAATTTTCTTATTGGGTTAACTGATGCACATTTGCTGTGGAGCATGTGCCTAGCGCAGTTTATAATATGACGAAGAACTGATCTTGAGTTCTGTGTGCATTAAAAATGGAAACAAACTTAAGCACCCATGCTCCACACGTGTGGCTAGCTCCCATCTAGTTTCTAGTTTAAGTAAGAACATGGCATCCAAAATTGTTTTGATTACGAGAGTCATGCATACAGAAATCACATTCTATGCAATAACTTTGATTTTACATTGGCACAATGCTTAGATAGAAAGTATCTGAGTTCCAAAAAATAATGCTCATTACATGATGTAGTTGGTCAAATTTTTGCTGTCAGCTTGTGCCAAACGTTTACCACAATCTTGAAACTGAAAGCATGTAGACAGGAATTTATTTAGATCCAATGTAAACAATCCATTTTCATGCTCCCAGTGACCATTATCAAGCCTTTCTGCACCTTAAGTGGAATACAGAGTGCTCAGTTCATATTATTCTGATCAATTACCTACTACTATATTAATGGCACTTCAAGGTATGCAGCTAAAGGCATCTGCAATTGGTCAAACAAGCCTTGTTGGAAGCCATTTACTGAAAAATATAGTTAAGTGGTCACAAGAATGTCAACTTTTTTTGTAAATACGAAACAAGAGGAAGCAGGGCACTTGTGAATAATAAAGAGGTAAATCCCATAGTCAGAGGCACATGCTATCACTGAGTTTTAAATGGCAATTGCATTTGCTAAATTAATTTTTGGTATTCTTGTAGAAAACAACTCCAGCTTGGAGACAGTGGCTGGATGAGTTATACATGATATGCTTATGCAGCTGCACAGCTTTACTGTGCCCTCCCCTTCCACCCCCAAAATTCCACACTTCATTTCAATATAATGCAGTGGTACCTCGGGTTACAAACACTTCAGGTTACAAACTCTGCTAACCTGGAAGTAGTTGCTCCGGGTTGCGAACTTTGCCCCAGGATGAGAACGGAAATCGCACGGTGGCGGCAGGCCCCATTAGCGAAAGCCCGCCTCAGGTTAAGAACGGTTTCGGGTTAAGAACGGACCTCCGGAACGAATTAAGTTCATAACCCGAGGTACCACTGTATTGTTCTTTTGCATTCAAAAGGCCCCAGGTGTAACATGTATACTAGACAGGACTTGCTCTGAGTGAGAATAAGTAGCAAGGCAAGGCAAAGAGCACCTCCACCTCCTATGCAATCATTGTAAAGGCAAAGGTACAATTATCAGAGATGCTCCAAAAGAGACATTAGATCTTAATCACTTATTCAAAGGCAAATACATGTACATATAAAAACCTATTGCTCACATTCTAAGATGACAAAAAAAGCAAAAGCCAGGATAAGGTTATGCAGTTTTTAAATAGTTGGCGTCTCTAGGAACAAGGAAGTTTAGCCCTATGTGTAGCATAGGCCTGAGGGCTATGCTTAACTTCTATCCATTTGGCAGATGGTTGTGATATATTCTTATGGGGGACAAGTAAGGTGCTGCATTTTAGGGCATGAACATGAAGAGGGCAAACATTTATTCCATTCCCAACAACTGAGTGGCAGGTGCAGCCCACCTATTGGCATTTAACCAGTATACATTAAAATCATCTCCTCTGTTAAGGTTCTTGCCATAATGCAAAATATGAGTCTTCAGACAAAAGCAACAGTTTCCAACAAATACAAATTTGTTTTAAAGCCAGGAATCAGCAAGTATGCAACTTTGAACTTCAAAGGGTAAACCACAGATACAAGTACTTAGATTTGTTAAAACGTCCATTCTCCCTTTCAAAAGACATTTTCAACAGGACTATTTTCACTCTACTTTGCAACTTCGTTTTTTTGCTGCTTGAAATGTGTGGTATTTTTTCAGGGAAATACGCAGATTCTCTGTCCAGTTTTCTGGCCTTCGCTTAATCTTAAATGATGCTACTGTTTCTGCAAAAGTGTGCGTTGAACTAAAAAGGAAAAAAGAGAAACAGATTAGAGATTACTTCCTGAAGTAAATAAAAAGTGTGTTTAAGTACAAAGGCTGCTGCTAAAACTTCTTACAGCCCGTGCCTAAGCATGCCTATTCAAAAGCCCCAAAACAGGACCTATGGGAACTTCTTTCCTAGTAGTGAAGCATTTTGTCACCACTGCAATCTAGAAGGTGAAGGGCTTTTTGAAGATGGGCAATACATTAGTCCTCTGTCATCCTAAACCCCAAAAGCCCTGAAAGCCCTCTCAGCAGTTGTTAACAGCCGTGCACTTTGGAGATGGAGAAAAATTATCTGATCATTATGAACACAAACAAAAGAAAAAGTTGCTGTCTTGTGCTCTCTTTTATAGGAAGCTTCTTTGTTCCATGCAACAATTCACTAGCAAAGTTAATCTTTCCTGCTTCCAGCTTGTTTCAGTTCTGTCCAAATTCTATTAAAGTTTCCCTAAAGCCAAGTCCTGCTAAGCTTTGCTTTATTGGCCTAATCCATGGACCAACAATAAGGGGCAGCTGTCAGACATCCAACATTCCACTACCATGACTAGCTGATTATTGTTGATACCTTTTTTGCCAATTGAAGTTGCAATACTGAACACACTTTCTATGGAGTAAACTCCACGGGAGACAAGCATCGGACTGTGCTGCGCACCATTTGTAGCTTCAGCCTTGTAATCTTCAGGTCAAACACATATCCCTCATCATAATTCATATTCCCCTCCCTTTTTTGCTGCAACTGTTTCTTACACTTTTACTTTAGGATTACTTAGGATTCATAATTTTGATTAAGCACCAAAATACAATTTAAAAATAAAGTAGGCATGTAGTGGGGGGCAAAAATAACCTAAAACACACACATGCATACCAGATATTCTTGTAGGACATCCCAAAAGTTGTTGAGCTATTTTTAGACAAGCCTAAGATCCAGGACAAAGTCCCCCCAGACGTCAATTCCACCTTTGAAATCATGGTAATGTGAAGGGACACCCAGATGTATGGCAGCCCTAAATTATGAGTGTTTGCATAATTTAGCAGGATGGAGACATCTTGATATGAAAGACTTATTTAAAGGGTAGCACTCTCCACTATTTTATGCATTTTTATTTAGCTGGATGCTTATAGCATTTAGTGGGTTCTTTTCATCACTGTAATTTTCAGAGATATTTTTGTTAGCTGATAATTAATGTCATTGCTTTTATGCTACAAGTCACTTCATGTGCACTGCAGAGAATGAGATAGACATCTTATAAACAAACCTGCTCCCCATCCCCATTTTATCCCTTGGTAATGAAGGGTTTCTGATGCAGTAACATCTCATTTCAGACAGAACACGTGTGTGTCTGTGTCCCCTTGCATGCACAACACACACTTGTACGCAGAGCCCAGCATAAGCAAGATGGATCATCTATCATTGTATTGGTCTAGATTGCACCTGAAATGACTGCCCAAAGAGGGCAGACTTTAGCTGGCACTGAAAGATTAAGTCAGTGCCAGCCAAATCTCAAGAGTGGTGAGAGTTCCACAACTGGGAGGCTATGGCTGAGAAGGTAATAAGTGACAAGATGGGGAAAACCTGAACTGTATGTTTCTGTTATTAAAAGTCATTCCCTGCTACTGCTGGCAAAGGTCTTAGCTCGCTCACAGAGAATATGCTATGCAGGAAGTCCCAGGTCCAACCCTTTGCATCTCCAGGTATAGCTAGGAAAGATTGCCTTCTCAAACTCCAGAGCACCACCAATAGTCAGTAGCAGTAGCACATTATGCTCAACCAACCAGATCATTAATAAATGTTTCCAGCTCAATGCAACTATTTGGCAACATTTATCTTCAAAAGAAACTCTAGAAAACCTGCCATCTGAAGGTAAAGCATTGAAGAGGACTAATAAATAGCTCTTCTATCTTTTATGTACTGGCAAGCAAGCAAGATGTACAATTATTAAGGACATATTTAATGATAGGCTACATGGCAAATAACCTAATGCGGCAACTCTTGCAAAACCATGGCTGGTGTTCACTGCTAGGCCTACTCAGGGTAGACCCATTGAAGTGAATGGACATGACTTAGGATCACAAATTTGAATGGGTCTACTTTGACTAGAACTTAGCTGAAAACAACCCCGTGTCTTTTATTCTCTGTTTAACTATAAATTTAATTTGCTCTAAACAACAACAAATAGAGGATACAACACATTTTTAGCATTAACTATCTTTTCCAAGATGACACATGAGATTCTACTAGCTCCGCAAATGCAACAGAGTTGGAGGTGGCAAAGGAACAATTTTGGAGCTGGTAATGAAGAAAACACACCCACTTAATGAGTCAAGCCCAACCTGCAAATTGAAGGCATTTAGATATGTAAGAAACTCTCTGTTTGTGCGGAGGCTGCATTCTGGGTCACTACACACATAGGTGGAGTGTGTGCAAGTCTGCCCCACCCCATTCCAACCCTGCCACTACCACTTCCAGATCTGAAAACGGCGTACAAATTGGTCAGTGCCTGTATCTCCATATGGTACATCTCCAGAATCTCACAACTGTCATGTAAAGAAGGCCAATAAATAAAGCCAATGAAAGGGTTAGCAAGGAAGACAAAGTTAAGTGAAAACTGAGAGTTGTTTGAAGGCATGTTAAGTAGGAGGTCCGGCTTTGGTTGTTGTCTTGATGGGAGACCATGCAGAATTCCATATATAAAGCCACTCTGAAACATCTCAAGTATGCAAAGAATCATAACTCAGTTCTGTTTTCATAAAGAAGATTCCTTACCAGGTGGTTCAGAATGTGCTCCTTGTTGACTTTGCATATTAACATTTTCTTCATCTGTAGATACAAACATAATTTAGATACATTTATATTTCACATAGATAATTCAGCTCACACACATTACCTAATGCCCAGTGTGGGCGCATTTCAAACTTTAAGCCTCCAATTAATTACACTGGGAGATACAATTCTAATACAGTCATAATGCGTATTATGGAGGAGCTCTCTCTCTCTCGTGCACACACAAACAAGATTCTTCATGTCACTGGTTAGGCTAATAGAAACATTAAAGGCAACATATGAAAAGCAAAAAGAAACTTAATATAAAAAACTTACCACTTGCTTTGAAGCAGAGCTTTTTCTTCTGGTAGGCTACAAAGCTCGACACAGCCCCAGCTACTGCTACAAGTACTGAGCTAATAATTCCAGCTAACATTCCTGGATTTTCTGTGAAAAGGTAGAAAGCAGGCTTAAACTGATCCACTTCTCAAAAGTCATATAAATAAAAATAACAGAGAAAGCATTCTTAAGAGCAATTTAATGACACCAGAGAAGATGCACTTGGAAGACATCACTGTATTCAATAGAGTTTGCTCCTTTTTCTTTAAAAGACACCCACTCACAGCTTTCAAATAATGCAAATTTTGAAATAAATGTTACATTTCAAAATGTTTGTGACTGCTTGATCATGTATTTACTACCCAGTAGTACTTCCTAAGGCAGGAAGATCTCCAGCTCCAATTTCTTAGTTATTATGCTATGAACCGCCCTGAATTCTATGGATAAAGAACTGTATACAATTTTAATAAATAAAATAATTTTTTTTTAAGCTGCATTAGAAGAAATGCTAATTCTTCCATTTAAAATCCAAGCTAGATATTGTGAAATGTAGGTTTCCAACATCGATATGCATTGGCTTCTAGCTGAAAAATCCATATTCTTAAACAAGTCCATAGTGAGTTCAGGCATGGTGGAAAGGAAGAACACCCAAGTATTCAAACCAGTCATTACTTCATAGGCTCACACATAAAATCATGTGTGAATTATGTATGGAGAAGATGAATACAGGTAGGTTTTTCTCCCTCTCTCACACCACTAGAACTCATGGAAATCAACGCAGAAGATGTCGGAAGATTCAGGACAGACAGCGATGACCTCCAACTTGAATGGCGGGAAGAGAAGATAAAGACAAATTCATGGAGGATATGTTTGTCACTGGCTACTAGCCACAATGCCTATACTCTGTCTCCATGGTTGGAGGCAGTATGCTTCTGAATACCATTTGCTGAAAAGTGCAGGAGGGGAGAGTTCTCTAATGCTCTCAGGATGTGCTTGGAGGCATCTCATAGGTATCTGGTTAGTCAATATGAGAGCACAATGATGAATTAGATGGGCCACTGGCCTGGTCCAGCAGAGCAATTGCTGTGCTCTTACGCTACAACTCACTGCTGTCCAATCTGCTTCCAGAGGAAGCAATGGCTCAGCGATTGTCAGATCTGATAAGGGATGCTTGCTCATGAGAAGTTTCAAGCAAGTGTGTAGAAAGGAGAACAGATGGAACGAAAGGGGAACAGATGGCTAGGCTTCCTCCCAGAAGTAATGACAAATCCGAGAACTTCAGCAGAAATTTGAAGGGTCATCAATTTTCTTTTTCCTTACAAAAAGCTCAAACAATGCTCAAAGGGGGGGAGGGGCTGAATCATATAGTGACAACAGGTTCCTGCCAACTGTGAGGAATGATAGGATGGATGCAAATCAAATTATATTTTTTTTAAAAAACCTAAGGCTTTTGCTTACAAACCTCACCCACCCTGTTGCCACCCACTTGAGCAAACCCCACCCCTTTACTCTTCACCAACTCCCTACCCTACCCACCCCCCCAGCTTGCCTAAGCCGCCCTTCCCAACTCACCCCAATCCCAAGCCTTTTTTAAAGAAGTGAGGAGGGGCTTCACACAACGAACGGCTTGCTAAACCGTTGTGTGAAGCACCTGTTCCCCAATGTCAAACCTCACTGCAGCCATGTTTAAGCATCATAACTGGGCTGCCTGTCACCCACACTGCTTGTTTGTTTGCTTGCCTGCCGGCTGCTCTTCACACTGGAGTTGACAGGGTCACCATAAACTGCAGCATGACTACAGCTTTGCATTTTTATATATAAACAGAAAGAAATTTAAGACCATGTTATTTTGTGTATATGTGTGTCTTTTACAATGTGATTGCCTTCCCTTAAACCGAAAGTAGGATGCCTGTGGCCCTGCAGTTGTTGTTGAACTCCAAAACCCATCAGAACCAGGCAGGCTGGCCATCATGGGAGTTGTAGTGCAAGTTGTAGGCTGGAGAACCACATCTTGTCCATCCCTATCTTAAAGAATAGATTAATATTATATTATCAGAATATAGTCCTACAGTTAGCTACTAAATGAATTGATGCCTCTGATAAGAGTTACAGAAAGTTTTTCTATGTAAAAGAAAAAGTATTATTGTTTCACAAAGATGAATACTATCTAGTAAACTTAAGTGGTATTCAACTAACTATTACTCAGAGTAGGCCCACTGAAATTAATGAATAGGACTAAATAAAGTCCATTAGTTTCACTGAGCCTACTCTGAGTAAAAGAAGCCACCCACAGGCATTTCGTGTTTGCCCGATTAAATTTTACTTCCAGTCTGCCCAACAGCTATTAGATCTGTTTTGACCCACCATTGAGACTTTGCCATTTGTACTGTAATCCTAAACACTAGGAGTGGCTAACCCACATCTCATATGTGGACACCAAAATGGTTTTGTGCCCCCTTCCCAACTGTAATTAAAAAAATAATAATTAGGTACATTGCATGTGAGAAGCCAACAACCTGTATGACTGTGATGTGTGAACAAGGCCATTTTAGACTTTGCTTTTGTCAAACATTGTGCTCCCCCTTGGATATGATTTAATATCACAGTCAGATGTCATTCGTAATAGTTCTGTCCCACAACTGACTTGATGAACCAGAACACACACAGCAAGGATAAAACTTATAGACTGCTGCAGCACAAAGGTTAACTTTTAGGGATGACTTAAGAATCCAAGGTTATAAGTGCCATTAAAAAACCTCACAAGCTTACCTTCCGCTTTGCCACCAGAGTCTGAGCCACCTATGAAAACAACTATGTTAGAATATGCTTTGCAAACAGTAGCTCTTTATTCCCCCTATGATGCAACTGCAGTAAAAAGTGTTCTACCTTCCAATTCAAATATTAGCAGAGTAAAAGATGGTCAGAAGGATTCTTGTATTAACAAATAAGCAGTATGTGAAGGGCCAGTGCTATTACCAAGATAAATGTTTACATCTAAACCTGAAGCCTCTTCATATATTGTTCCTTCTTCTGCTTAATCTATGAATAGCAATCAAAGGCAAGGTGCATATTATTAATCACTGAAAGATATAAATAGTGTGGCACACTTTTTCAAAGTCGGCTGGTGCTCCTTGTCAGAAATGCTTACCCAAAGGTACTCTATCACTTATCCCTAAAGGGCTTTGACTTTGGAATGATCTCTGCCTCAGGTTACCTCTGTCCCCTTCATTGTTGAGAGACAGCAACTGAAGACTTTATAGATCACACAGAACTTTCCAAACTGTTGTTGTTTCATTGCCACTAGCAGAATTTTATGGGTTGGTGTTTCAATGATGGTTATTCTCTAAATATTTTAGTTTGGCATTTCATTTCCAGATGTATTTTGCTGTTTATCTTTGTGCTGGGCATGGCGATTCTCTCCCCCACCCCTTTTTATAAGCCTTTCAGAGTTCCTTGGAGGAGATATTTAGAATATTCCCTTCCAATAATTAGCTGTAACCCTTTTAGTTTCCAGATAGAAGTGCTGTACTATGAAATACTCTGGATATGAGCAGTTAAGTCAGAGGGAAATGATATGCAACAGCCTTCTGAGAACGCTGACTGCAATCACATAACTGCCCTTCCCAATATGTGAGTGGGAGGGAAAGAAATGTAAAAGTGTTGTTAGTGCTGCACTACTTCTATATAAAAGTGAGATGGCAGCAGAGAGGATAGTCAGACTAGAGCCGCAATATTATTACACAGGTCTACACCAACTGTTTCTACTGCTGATGTACTGAAGATACTGTGAAAAGGTAGCACAGTCTGCAACTCATCTTGGTCCCTTGCTTATTGTTCTACACCTGCAGATTAACCTCACCTAATACATCCCTTGGTATCTGACCAGACATGATGGACCGTCTCCTCACTCTATCTGCAGTCTTGCCAATCCTTTTGTTTGTGTTTGTTTTACCCATGACTGGCTCATCAGTGTCCATAGATATGTCTTCTGTTTTTCTTATTTCAGTCATACCTTGGTTCTCGAACAGAATGTGTTCCAGAACCGTTCAAAAACCTAGGTGCAGATTCGGATTGGCTGCAGGAGCGTCGGACATTCAGCTTCCAAAAATAGTTCAACACTCACTTCCAGGTTTAGATTGTTCAGGAGCCGCTTTGTTCAGGAGCCAAGGCATTTGAGATCCAAGGTATGACTGTAATCATATTTCTATGAACTACAAGCAATTGCTCTCTTGTCTTGTTTTGAGTTAGGCTATCCTTAAAATAAATTTGCTTTGATAAAAGGTATTAAGGACTGCCTGCACAATTAAACTGGATTGTTTTCTTGTTTTTCTTTTTAGAACCTTGCGTGCCTTCAAGTAGCTCACAACCCCATGGAAAGCATATGATGAGCAGTATCACCAAGACTTGCAAGGGACTTGCAAGTTACAAGTAAAACAACAATGTAACAAGGACATGTGTGCTATAACCTACAACAGTTGCAAAGGTCTTGCTACATGGAAAAGCAAACATTGGCACAGCTCACATACCTGAAGAAGGATTAGAAGCACGGCCTACATTAAGAAAGAAAAATTGTGCATAACAGCGTGAGAAGCAAAATCAACATAAATTATTCTTAGAAAAGTAACTGAGAAATTATGATTAAGTTAGCTGTGCACAAAGTTAGCATCAATTAGCCGTGCATAGAATACATGCGGACATAACCAATTCCAACTATGTGTTTGTACTTCTTTACTTAAAATGTAGAATAACGTTCAAACTATCAGAGTCTTCTGCATAAGCCTTGCAAAACCAGCCCCAGATCAAAACTCAAAGATTATGCAGCCATTTATCATGCTCAATCAAGGTGATTCATGCATTTATCATGCATGATCATTTAAGTGTGTCCTATCTATGAAGGACCTTCACAGGGAGTTTCAAGGAGCATGTAGACAAATCTGAGCAGCACAAGTGCCACCACTACAGACACTCCCTTGTGCCATTAGTTCCTTGAATGGTTAGAACAGAAAACTAAAACTATTAAGCTATTACATATAAATAAAAAGTCAATGTTATTAACTGTGTTATGTTAAGAGCTTCTGTCTGGTCAGGAATGCTGAAACTGCTATTATGTACAAAGGGGTATAGAAAAGTAGATTCCCAAAGCTGTCATTTCAGGACTGGAAACTAATTCAACAGATACTGGGTCCAGGGCCAGCAGGGGAACAGATTCTTGAGTTTCATTTCTTTAAAAAGCAAGCCTTTAGTCCTTGCGGAACAAAAGTTAATAAAGCACAATGTGCAGGCAGTATACTAAGCAATTGGTTTGCAAGATATGAGCCTGCTTCCATTTTCAGTGTTTTAGCCAATAACCAAGATTGTCAAGTGCTATAAGGAAATTTAGAGTTATACATGCCCTGAGAAGACCCAGTAATAGCTTCAGAATGAAGCAGGAAGTCCTTTCTCCACTGAAGCAATTTTTGGGTGTTCCCTGGTTTGAGTGCAATTTCATTTCCCCCACTACATTCGGGCAACTGAGAAAGACTTCCTGGTTCACTCTGAAGCTGTTTTTATTCCATCGTCCCTAATAGAAAAGTGATTGTGGCCTTGAGAAAAAATTAAGAAATTCAAGAGTTTAGTGTTGCTGTGACTGGACCGTAGTTTGTCCACTCCAAAGCAAAAGGAATTTGCAAATATGAGCATTCACTCTCTTTCAACTCGGGGTTAATTTCATGCAAAGACTATTAACAATAATAATTCATCATTAGTATATTTATATTACAAAGTGGGCTTTTCATGGTAAAGAAAGCACGAGCTATATCAGCTGTGTTGCTATACTAATATTGGCAGTGGGGGCTAAGAGAAAGTAATGTATGAAAACCTGAAGCCACTTCATATAGTTGTTGGTATCAAAAGCTGCTAAGAGATGAAGCAGAAGTAACAGAGTCACACACCCACTGTCTCTTTCTTGATCAGGGCAACCAAGGCTGATTCAATTCTGAAGCCAGGTCTGAAACTCAGATCACAGCAGATCCAGGTAATCAGCCTCATCTAGGAATGCCTGCAGTGGCTCCACTACCACCTTCTCAGCCATATTTGCAAAGAAAGGGATGTTGGTGATTTGCCTATAGTCACTATATTCTGCTGGATTCAGAGCAGGCTGTTTAAGAAAATATGCATCACTGTGTCTTTAAGAGTAGTGGGAGGCATGTGATTACAACAATGAGGCATTGACCACATCCAGGACCAATTAGGTTGCTCCACTCCAACTAACTGACAGGATCTAACCAGCACTGGCAGGATCCTGTTTACATCATCAGACCAAATTAACTGGAATTGATCCCACAACACTGGATCCAACAATGTTGTGTTGGACACTTGGGTTGGCAATGCCACAACGGAGAGCTGGCCAACTTTATCCTCAAAGTGTTTAGCCAATTGGTTACAGAAAAGGCACCATGTGCTCCAGAGGTCCACCCTACCCCCTGGTCAGGAGTGATCAATCTCCAGACCATACAGAACAACTCTGCTGGTTGGCTTCTCAAGGATGTGATGCAGATATTGGAGTAGGATCTCTTCGCTGTCCCCACAGTTATGTGGTAGTTCTGATCACTCTGGAGCAAGATTTACACTGCTTATGCTCCTATCCCCACCCAGTCAACTACAGCTGCTCAATAAACCAAGGATGTATAGTTGAGCATTTGCCATGGCTATACTTTTACAAGCTTTCTCAACTCCCAACCCATTTTTAGACATTTCCTGTTTCAGAAATTAATAGCACATTGAATAGTAATGTTAGTAAAATCTTGTTTTAAAAAAGTTGTAATTAACTTACTTTCAGATGCCTGTCCCTGGGAAACATGTATTTATGCACAATGTTTTCAGTGTCATTGCCCCTAACCCCCACCATCTAAGGGAAACATCTGTAAGAGATGGGGAACATGTGGCCTTCTAGCCATTGTAGGACTCCAGGTCCCATCAGCCCAAGATCAGGAATGATGGGATTGTAGTCCTATATCACCTGGAGAGATGTATGTTCCCAAGCCCCATCTCAAAATACCTACAGGTATTCCAATCAAAAAGATTTCCAAGTAAAATGTTGAATTTCTGTTAAGCACCAAAGCTAAGATCACAGCACAATCCATCTTTTTAGTTTGTCCCACGCACCACACCCCCAAATAAAACATTTCAACATATTTTGGCTAGTAGAAAACTGTTAAAAATGTTTAAATTAACATTTTAAAAAGGTTTGCTTAGTTAATGCAAGTCAATCCAGCTAAATTAAATCTCAACTGATTTAAGGAAACATCATCATCATCATCATCATCATTATTATTATTATTATACCAGAGAACCCCCATCATAATCCCTCAGTATTATAAAAAAACACAAATGTGACATATCTAAGTATATTTATAACAGTTTGCACTAGAAACTTACCTTTTGGTGGATCTGGGGGTGCCTGACCATCATTTAAATCCAAATCACTAAAATCTTTGAAAAGAGAATATTTGTTAGAACGAAGTCTTCTAAAAACCCACAACATATATTTCCTATGGCAATCTGTACACTATGGTGTTTGTGGCACTTTTCCAGGGACCATAAAAATAGCTACAATCCCAAGTATGCTTACCATGAGGAAAAGCCCACATAATTCAGCTTAGCTGGTTATGGAGAACGTGTAAGACTCACATTGAGTTGCTCAAGAGGGGCAAGTGAACAGCCATGCTAGTGCCGTTTCGTGAAACATGTTGGCATCAAGCACCCGTGTGCATGATTAGGATGGCAGCACTCTCCACCTACAGTGCCTTACATTACATATGTGCTTTATAAATTTCTCCACATCTCCTGCAAAAGGTCTGGTGCGTAGAAGGACACTAATTGAGCTCTAACCAGGTTCACAAATCACTTCAAGTTCTGGTTAAAACTAAACCAGGATCAATGCTGATATAAAGCTCCATTATATTATTGCTGACAAAAGAAGGGAGTGAGAATGAGAGGGGGAAAGCGAGAGTGCATGTGCCTGCAGCCCACCACCATATCCCTTAGCTATGGGTAAGCCATCAGCAGTGTTACATCAGCACTGAGCTGTAAATCTTGCAGATGGTGAACTATAAAGATCTGAAGATGCACTGAAGCACAGATGAAAGTTATCACCTCTCTTCTTTAATCTCATATTAGATTTTAGTTTACTGACCATAACTGATACTGTCAGGCTACGCTCTGAAGTAGTATTTCTAGAGAAGCTTACCACCAGTATTGCCATGGCTTCCAGGATCTGGCTGAGGTAGTGCTGGTGGTTCTGGCTTCTTGGGGTCATCAACTAACACAGAGAGAGAGATAACAAACTTCAAAATATGAGAAGTAGAAAATACCTTGATATTCTGATTTTGTAGAAATGGTATCCCATTTTCCTTGCTTCTTAGGTAGAATAATGTACTTGACAAGCCCATCCACAATGGTAAAACTTGGAATCTAGCTTAAAGCCAATGCCACAGCTGTGTATACACGACATCCTGGCATGCTCTCAGGTTATTTCATCACTTTCTTGTTCAACAGCTTTCATACCCTCAGAAACCCATCCAAATTTAAGGAGGGGTTTGGCACAGGGCTATTAGGATCTGGGAAACCAGGGTTCAAATCTCCACTCAGCCATGGAACTGATTAGGTGATCTTGGGCCTGTCTCTCAGCTTAATGTATCTCACAGCATTGTTGTGAGAATAAAATGGGGATGGGGAGAACTATTTAGAAGACCCTAAGCTCCTTGGGGAGGAGTTGTTCCAGACCAAGCAAGATAAATAACCTCCTCTCTCTTCCCTCAAGTTACTTTTGGTACAGGAGTAGAGGCACCTCAATAAGCACTGTAATATACATATTACTTCTGTGTAGTCACTAAGAATGTCACCTGCCAACTCCCCCAAATTATAAATGTATCCAGGTGAGGGATGTACAGATTACCCACAGTGACTAAAGAATGCATACAAAGAGCAAGGGAAAGGCAAACGCAAACAGCATCTGTAGTGCTGGGTCAGATGCCTGAAATTGGTGCCTCAAGGTATTTTGGACTACAACTTCCATCGCCCCTAGCCAGCGATGGTGAGGGATGATGGGACTAGCAGTCTTGCAACATCTGGCAAAGGTTTTTATAGTGTGCAAAGTGGGTCTTGCAGCACCATTTCCTAAAATTTGAAGAAGATGGAAAAGGCAATTTTCTGGCTGATTTTAAGTAAACCGTTTGATGTAACTGTACAGTTGAGATACTGCTTTGTCCATTATATTTGCTTATGCTGCTCAACTGGGATAGGGAAGCTCTGGCTCTTGGGCCAGTCTTGGCACACGAGGCCATTTTTTTCCAAAACCACAACCACCTACCTATCTGGGAGGGTGACATCAGCTGCTGAGGGAGCTGGAAGAGTTCAATTCAGCATTAGCTGCAAGTGCCACTTCCTCACAGGCAAGTGGTGTGTGCAGCCAAAGCAGCAGATTTAACTGCCACTCAACAGTTGATAAGCTGAGTTTAAATCCTGCTCAGACCCCTGCAGAAAGCAGCACTGAAATCTCTACTCATCAGCATCTTGCCGGATGCTGCTTCAAAGCAGTGCTGTTCGAAAGCCTTTTGCAAACAGCTTCACACTGCTCTTTAAAACCTTAGGTTTGCAGAGGTCTGAAGTGCTATTTGTACAAAGGACTTCCAAAGATCCTCATGCTATGGTCTTTGAATTTGTGACTGTCTGGGCTTCAAAAGCAACATACAAACTAGACTTGCATGGAGTGCAGACAATACTTACCAAAGGCATCTTCCAAGTTAAAGCCATCATCATCATCTAAACAGGGAAGACAACACAGTTGTAATCTTTCTCCCAGAAATGAAATACTCCAGGTAAAACGATTTAGATATTATTATTATTATTATTATTATTATTATTGATAATAGTAAGTAACACACACACGGGGGGGGGGGCTTCACAATGAATGTAGAACCGTATTTAAATTGGGCACTCATGGTCAGTCAAGGGTTGCCAATGAAATATTATAGGTTAAAATGATTGATATTTTATAAAGCAGAAAGAATGGTACTCAATAAAGTAGTTTCACTAGCACAAAGATTAAAACTAGCCCAGTGAGATATCCCACTGCATGTACCTTGCACTGTCCCCGAATTTGCTCTGAAGGGTTGGAGGAACTTCCAGAACAGATTTAGGGAGTACACAGGGAGGAGGGGGAGGAAAACATTCTGTTGCGCAATGAGAAACTTTGGAGCAGTTATTAGTACTTCATGCTTTCCCCTCTGTAAATGGTCTGGCAAGGCTATGTCCCCATGGCATGCCCTGACTCTAGGCCCAATATCTTGGAAATCACACCTCTGTTGGTGACACGTGTTCACATCCATGTACACATGTAGTCAAGGATGAATTCTTTGGATGTTTGTCCTGCCCTATACCTGGCCTGAAGTGGGTTGTATTATTAGACCCTATATACATGAATAATCAGTGTTATGGAAAGTTCACTCACATATCTGCAAAAAACAAGACAAAACATTGGACTAAGGCAAATTTGGCATCTACTTGTCCTGTACTCAGCAGAGCGCACTCCTCCATTGTTTCCTGAGATGGATGGATGACAACTCATGACATATAATGCCGTTTATAACACAAACTTAGTCATGCACACTGAAAAATAATTGTATAGGAATAGAAAATCAATGTTCTGATTACTCTTATACTCACGTTGTGTTGGCTTTTTGTTAGGTGGAATCGGCTTCTGTGTTACATCTTCAGGATCTGCCATATTAAAAACACACAGGTCTTAGTATAACTTCAATGACCAGTTACCAAAGGGGGCACTTGCTAGGACTGATTAGTGATTCAGCATTACATACACACATACATACTTACATACACACACACACACACACACACACACACACACACACACACACAAACAAAACTGGACAGGGCTGCATTTATTCTTGCTGGTAAGATAGTTGCTGGACTGCATTTTTATTCTTACTAGACCTCACCCAGGATGTTTTGCGAAGGGTGGGTAACATATATTCATTGTTTTTAAAAATTCACAAAGAAACCAGATACAAGGTGCGAGCCTTTGCTGCTCATTTGCACAATGAGTAAAGTAGACCTGTGCCAAACCCTAAACTGGTCATCTGAAGGTGGTAGGAGGCAAAGCAAAGTTTGTGCCAAAGGGGGTGGGGGAGGGAAATGGAAGGCAAGAATTCACTTTGGACAGTGCACATGGTCAAGCTTTAAATACCACACCCTTGTGTGGGTGTGCATGGGGGGGGCGTGAACTGAAAGACCTGCTTAGGTTCCCACAAGGGATTTGTGCTAGCTCAGAATAATGTTTTCACCTGGGTGGGGGGGTGGGGTTGAATACCAAACTATATTTGCAATTCCCATCACTTTCAAAAGCAGTTGGGCAGGAGGCTACTGCTCCCCCAGCCCCCGTGGCAGCATGTCTAAAGCCCCTTAGGCTCACATAACTGAGTAGAGGTGTGCACTGACCATAAGATTTGGTTCAGCCTCAAATTCATCTGAATCCAGTGTACACCCTGGTAATTAGTTTTCCAGTTCTCTTGAATATATAATGCTGTGCAGGTCTGTTAATCACAGCTCAAACTCATGACACTGCAGATTTTTACATTAAAGTAATTTAACATTTCCTCCCCCCTCCTACCCTCAATTCTTACCCACCTTGTCTTAAATTATTGGGCTCTATAAATCGGGATAATCCCTCTTGATTAATCAAACTGAGATGATGCAGCAGGATGCAACTGAAGCTCAGACAGGGTTAATATCTGATTTTGACTAAAATCTGCATCACAATATCATGGTTACTATAAAACCCATTAAATATTCTTAAGTTTACTTCATTAGGTTGTAGTTAACTTACCGCCAAATGCATCTGCCAAGTCAAAATCTTGTCCTGTAAAATTAAAATATTTGCTTATTTATAAATATATTTGTATGCCTCTAGTCACAGGAAAAAAATATCACACCAGTTTATAGAGCTAAAGGGACCCCTGACCGTTAAGTCCAGTCACGGACAACTCTGGGGTTGCGGCGTTCATCTTGCTTTACTGGCCAAGGAAGCCGGCATTTGTCTGCAGACAGCTTCCGGGTCATGTGGCCAGCATGACTAAGCCATTTCTGGTGCACCAGAGCAGCGCATGGAAATGCCGTTTTACCTTCCCGCCAGAGCGGTACCTATTTATCTACTTGCACTTTGACGTGCTTTCGAACTGCTAGGTTGGCAGGAGCTGGGACCGAGCAACGGGAGCTCACCCCATCACGGGCCCTAGGCTCTGTGGTTTAGACCACAGTGCACAGCCGCCATACATACATACATACATACATACATACATACAATAAAAACAACATAAATATTTAAAATCAGAGATCAGCAATAGTTTCTTAATTGCTTACACAAACTTGGTGACATAGAATTTTTCCCAGTGCATGTTTAAAGGTGACTGCTAGGTCTTTGTTGGAAGAGCATTACACAGGCTCAGTTTCCTGTCACTGTTAGATTACCTCACCCACCTGGGGAATGACCAGTGGTGGTCCTGCAGATGGTCTTAGTGCTTTGGCTGGGATACAAGGCTTCAGATGGTCCTAACATAGGCCTAAGTTGTTTGGGGCTTGAGAATGCATAGACCTTAAACCTGTCTTGGTAGCAGCCACCGTGGGTGTTATACAAATGGTTTTTCATGTTGTCAACCACATGCCCCCATCAGCAGTCTGGCCACCATATTCTGCACCACCTGAAGTATCTGAACCAGAATACAAATTCTCATCTTCTCCTTCCTTGTTAGCACCAATATATCTGGGAGTTTAATCTTGCTAGATGTGCTGAAGGACAGCCAAGAAATTGTAAGGTAAACCCAAAAACAAAACTGCAAAGCTTGTGATATACGAAACCAATGGTAATAAAGAGTCTTCCCTAAGGTGTAGACCTATAAAGGGCTATTGGCCAAGACTATGTCCAGAGACAGTTTACCTCTAAATGCCAGGTACTGGTTTCCTTTCATATTCTGCTTGTAAGCTTCTTGGAAGCACCCACTAGAAACAGAACACTAAACTAGATGACTCTTCAGTCCATTTCCTTAAGATTGTTTATATCTAGTTGCATAGATATGCCCTATGTCACACACAAGGGGTCACCAATGTAGTATCTGTGTATACATATGTGCCCATAGCAGCTTTTGTTGCCCCCCCCCATGTCCCCTTCCACTGAAATTAAGCTTGAAAGAAGCATTTTGTTGTAGCCAGAAGAACTGGCTGCAATGTGTGCTTAGTTGTGGTGTGTGTTGCCCGTGACAGTATCTTCAGGCTGCAAATGAATCCAAGGTTGGCAGGCTCTGCCACATGGAAAAGAACAGTCCAAGGAAAAAATGGTCACTGCAGGGCGATTATAACAAAACACAAGAGCCTGTCCAATTAACTTTTCCATTCTTCCATTTCTTAACATGATTGAAGAGGCATTACAAGCTTGCCAAACACATATCCCTGGGCATCTGTCAACAGTACCCTTGTACCCCCAAACTTGTCTATTTCCCTTGGGTAGAACTGTGGGTTTTCAGAAGGTTCTCAATAACAGCCCAATAGATATGCTCCCTCAACATCACCCTGCAAAGCTGGAACAGCATGTGCTAACGCTTTGTACCTGCCTGAGTGATCACAATTTTGTCTAAGACAGGATGCCATCAGTCTTCTTGTACCTCCTCAGGGATTGTGTTTTCCCCAAAGCCCTGATCTCAGTGTTTAAGGGATACATGTGACCACCCTCCATAAAGAAGGCTGATCGCCGAAGAATTGATGCTTGCTGAATTATGGTGCTGGAGGAGACTCTTGAGAGTCCCATGGACTGCAAGAAGATCAAACCTATCCATTCTGAAGGAAATCAGCCCTGAGTACTCACTGGAAGGACAGATCGTGAAGCTGAGGCTCCAATACTTTGGCCATCTCATGAGAAGAGAAGACTCCCTGGAAAAGACCCTGATGTTGGGAAAGATGGAGAGCACAAGGAGAAGGGGACGACAGAGGATGAGATGGCTGGTGTTCTCGAAGCTATCGGCATGAGTTTGACCAAACTGCAGGAGGCAGTGGAAGACAGGAGTGCCTGGCATGCCCTGGTCCATGGGGTCATGAAGAGTCGGACACGACTAAACGACTAAACAACAACAACAAAAGTGACCACCCTACATGACTTCTGGGCAAGTTGTCTATCAATCCTGCACCCAAAACTAATCCATGGATAAGTGCATGACCGCATTCATGCTGGACCTGCCCCACCTTACAGCAACTACTACTTCCAGTGTTCAATTCCGCCACGCATAAGGAAAATGAAATAGAATCTAATAATGAGATGATCCAAAAGGCAGCATCTTCTGTTCTAGCCTTATATGGATATTGCTGGCTGTGACATATTAATGTTTTTTATTGCTGTTATTATGATAGCGATTGTTTTAAACCATTGTTTTAAATGGCTGTAAGCTGGTGTCCAAAAATATTGTGTTCTGAATGGTAGTTAATAAATCTATTAAATAAAATAATATAAAGGCCTGCTGATGAAAGCAGCAGGAATCAGTACAGTGGTTGGATGAATACATTATCAATTTTTATTTTCAGCCATAGACAGTCAATTAGGGTGCAAGTATGTGTGAAAAACGATTAGCATGTTGATAAGGTGCCTTGTTTTTGGTAGGTTTTCTCCTCCAACTCAAAACTAATGTTTAAAAACACATACTGTAACTTATTTCCTGTCCAGTTACCAATAGAGATTTATCAGGATAGAAAGTGCTGGGTGGGATGAGAGTTCTGTTTTGATATTGGCAGATATAGCTTGCTAAACGACTATAAAGTGTGCCTAAACAGCTCAACACCATTCAATTAAAAATAACATTGTTCCCAACTTTTCTTAAAAAATTGTAAGACCGTCTAAAAATCAGAAGGATAGTTGTGTTCACAGAAGGATCCCTTATACCCATGGAGAAGAGTCAGGATCCAGCCCAATGAGATCAACACCAATGAAAACATTGTGCCACCTTTTCAATAAACAAAAGTAAACATCCATTTCAAATGACTGGAGGGGGGTAATATTTAACCTCTCCCTCCTGTCCCCTTGCATTTTGATCATTTTTGTTGTTGCAATTTTCTCCGAGTTTCATTTGTCATCTGCAATCCATTTAGCAACAGAGGCACACCAAAACCAATGGGTATGGGATTTCAGAATGATGAAGTGGGGGACACCCACTAATGAGTAACAGACTAGAATGCCTTTGCCATATCACCTCTGCAAAACAGCTCAATAGAGAGATCTGGACATTTGGACACCTTTAAAGCAGAGGGACTGGCATACAAGCATGACTCATATGAGAATAACTGACAGCTTGCAACAGCATGAGTCATCTCGTGCTACGCAGAAATCTGTGGGCTACCCGATGAGGCAAAAACCCTGGCAGGATGTTTACACGCGCTGCCAAGCAGCCCTTTATAATTAGCTCTGCAGCAACATACCATGAAGTTGGGAAGAGTCGACGCTGCACTGCAGATTCAAGAAAGTGTGCACCACACAGACTGCTTCTATCAGCACACTGCTCCAAGCTAAAAAGCTGCTGTTGTACTAATTTTCTGTCCAAGGAAAAAGTTATCTCAAAGCCCTTTTTAAGATGCAAGGGATCAAAAATGTACTGTCCGAATAGCCTTAAGTTAGGAATTGCCAAGCTTAGGAGACAAAGTTTTTTTCATAGACTCAAGTACTACAACTCCAACTGCATCTACATGCTTTCCTACGAATCTGAAATCCCATGCCTCTGCTACTTCACTTTCCCTGTTTTTAACAAGTTACCATGCTGCCAGCTGCTTTTGGGTCTACACTAGGCTCCTTCTCACCCACCAAATCACCAAACTAATCTGTGTTACTTCATTCTACTGTATCTTTCAGCAGTTCAAATCACTGCCTTACAGGCCTTTTTTAAAGGAGAAGCCCAGCTGAGGCAAATGCTTAACTTTCCACACATACATACACACAGCAAGTTGCACTGCAAGACCACCTTCTGGGTTGGGATCATGAAAACATATCCCCTTTTCACTAGAAACCATTCCCCCTTTGGCATGCTGACAGTGCACTTTACTGCAGAGGGTGAGGGGCAGTGAATGTGGGGGTGAAACATTTAATCCCTTGTCCACACTGGCCTGATCCAGACTGGGGCCTCGTGTTGTTTTTTTGTGGAAAAAATAAAAAATAGCTTAATAGCTTAACTTAATGTGTCCCCCTTCCAATGATGAGTTTCTTTTCCCGATAAGGCAGTAACACTCCCCAGTGAAAATTTACCCCAGGTATTTTGGGGTTGTCCTGTTTTGATCAGCATATTAACCCCTTTCTCCCTTCCAGTCCATTAACCCCTTTCTCCCTTCCTTGCCACATATCTAGGTAACCATTAGCTCAGCTGATATAATGGTTGGAGATAGAGCCTTACCTTAATTACAGCCCCAGACAATAGAGGTAAAGAATACTTACGGTACTAGCTCAGCTGTAAGACGAACTTTATATTAGATATATGCAGAAGGAATGCTGTACTTTCCAAGTGAATCTAACATCTAAGTATAAATGGCTGCTCTCCATCTCAAAATATAGACGACAATCGGTTTGTTTAAACTCAAACAATGGCTGCCATGGTCCCGACTGCCCAATATCAGAAGAAAGTAGAAGTTCCATGAGTTGCTCAATGGGAAATGAAATGCTGGTCTCTTGAAATGTCTGAAATTCAACTATTTGATGGAGGGTAAAAAGAAATGTGCAATGTAACACATACCATATGGAATATTTTTTATGAACTAGCAGACAATATGAACTAGATGAACCAGTGATCTGACTCAGTATAAGATAGCTTCTTGCACTCCGGTTGACTGTTGCCAGTGTTA